TTTGAAATATTGTTTTTGTTCCTCACAGAGACCCCAATTTTGTTCCCTATATTACATTGCGCTTTGTTTTGTTTTGTTCGTCACAGAGATTATACAACATTGCGCTTTGACCTCAGTTTGGTTTTATTGTTTTTGTTTTGTTTTTATCCTTTCCTTTGACATAAAAAAAATCACAAGAATTTTTTCCACCTCACACTAGTTAAGTAAGTTTAACGGGGAGTATTTTTATCCCACACTTGCCAATTATCTTTTCCTTTTATATAAAAAAAGTAGAAAATTTTGGTATTAATGTTAATTTTGTAAATTTGGTCCATATTATGAATAATATTTTACAATTAATCAAACATAGCATTAAAAAAACTAGCCAATCATATCGGTAATATTTTAGCTTATCAAATAATTTTTTAATAATATTTTTGAAAATTTTATTTTCCTAATATATTCCTAAAAATTATAATTTATAAGAATTCACTTTTTCTCCAGTTACTACTAGAGGTGTAAATGGGCTGAGCTGAGCTAGACTTTGCTTAAATAGTCAAGTCTGTGTAAAAAATATTGGGTATGGCCTGACCTATTGGCCTGTGTATTTTTCAAATAACAAGTCTGGCCTGATTTATATTCAAGAAAAAAAACCTTAGCCTAAGTCTGTTAGCCTGTTTAAACTTATTAAACATTTAACAATTAAATGAATAACTAAAATAATATTATTTTATTATTCAAAATTATGAAATAATAATTTTATTTATTATATATTAAAAAAATAATATGATATAGGCCGGACTGTAGGTTTATAGCCCGACATGTACAAAAAAAGTCTATGGCCTGTTTTCTAAATAAGTTTTTTTAAAAGCCTAGGCCTATTCTATTTTACTACTTATAATATGTCAAGTCTGGCCTAATATAGACTAGGCCATAGGCCGGCCTAGCCCATTTACACCCCTAGTTACTACAGATAAGTTATTTGCAGTAAGCCCAATACGACGTCGTTTTGGAGCGGAAATCATAGTATTTTTGTAATTTTAATTTATTTCAGAGTTATTATAGTAATTATAATTTTCTAATATTTCAATCCCAAAACGACGTCATTTTAGAAATAAATATAGATAATCTATCTGCATTAACTGCAGAAATATTTTTCTGAATTTATAAATAAAAAAAATTTATCCTCTGCAAAACACTTCATAAATCTCCATTAACCAGTGGCGGACGCAGAAATTTTAATAAGAGGGGGCGAAAATAAAAAATACTATATCATAAATAAAAGTACTTGAAATACAATACAAACTTAATATACAAAAAATTGAAAAAAAATCTATTACAGAAATTAACATCACTTCACTTACTCTTGCTCTACGTGTTTTCATATTGTCAAACTCATAGAATTGAATCCGTGCTAAAACTCAAAATAATTTCTTTTTCAATGTATGTAATCACAGATAGTCTATGACTATACATACACGCAATGATCTTAGGAAGGAGGAAGTTGATTCTACCTGGCTCTAGAATTTACACAGCCAAAATCGAAAGGATGAACGAAACACGAAAAGGAGAGAGAGGATGATATGATGTTCTCAAGAAAAAATATGGGTAAGAGTGTGGGCAGAAACATAAAGAATTGAAGAAAAAAACATGTACAATATGATAATTCTATCATCACATTTTTCTACATGTATTATATAAAAAAATTATCAAATTTTAGAAGGGAGCGAGAGCCCATCCTACTCCCCTATTGGGTCCGCCCTGCCATTAACCCTTACATTTCATTAACACACCTCTATAAGTATGGCTCCATGATTCCACCACGTCCTTATCCCAAACTAACATCCACTCGTAGAAGTCAAAGATCAACACCATTACATCAAAATATCTCTGAATTCCCATTTTTTTTTTTTTTAAAAATAAAAATTGTGGGGCGAGATTGCTACATGTTAGGTAGAGAAATAAATGAAAGGATGAGAATAATACAGTCCAAACTTGAGCCCGAGTATGACATTATTGAAACATTAAAGTCCTAAATAGTTTCATATAAAAAATCATTCTTACTTAAAATACTTTCCTCAATTCAAACTCACTCCTTCATTAAAAAAGAAAAAGAAAAAAGAAATAGATCAGATCTTTCCATTCAGGGGCCAATATGATTCCCGCACCCCACAAGAAATGATAGGTTGATGTGAAAAGTCCGTATGATTTTTATTTTCAAAAATAAACTTTTAATCTTTAAAATATAAAACTTATTTGATAAAGGTTGTTTTATGAAAAGGGCTCTCAAGTCTCAACAGTAAATGTATTATAGTTTTTAAAACAAAAATTAAGTAACACTTTAGACTTTTAGAGATGTTCTTAAAATTTATTTTTTGAATTTATTATTTTTACAATGATAATTTTATAGTTATAAGGATTTATTAATGGGACTTTATAAATAATTTCACGATAGCAATTTTATAATTACGACAGTTTATTACTGAAATTTTCAAAAATAAATTTATTTTTTTAATTTTAAATCTATTTATATTAAAAAACTATTTTTCGTTTGTCAACAAAAAAATAAAAAATTATTGTTCTCTTTTTTTAAAATTAGTTTTCAAAATTTGTATTATAAAACAATTTTGAAGAATAAAAAAACAAATCACAATATCAAACATACTTAAGATTTGCATTTTTATCTTTCTAAAACCAATGGAATTATATTCCCTAAAAAGTATGTAACAATAATATCTTCATTAAATAATAGACACTTTCTGTACAAAGATATCGAATCAAAGCAAATTATGAAAGGTTATGGCCACAGCCCAGAGGCACCTTGATTGGAGAACAAATACATATCTAAATGATTTTTCAGTGTTTATTTAGATATTTTTTTTTAAATCTTATGTAACATATTATAAGTCATTTAATAACAATTATATATTGAATAATAAAAATTATGTAATTTTATTGCTTAATTTATATTTTTTTTTAAAAAGTAATAGGATAATTTATTCAGAAAGAAGATACTCTCTACTCACCCCTTCTGAATAAACCACTGGTCAATAGCATTAATTAAAGAGACGGATATGTCATATCAATATACCATTTCAGCTACTTCATTATGAGTCACAGTGGGCCCAAGAATCCCACTCATCACACAGTGTCTTTCCATAATAATATCAATATATAATTGTATATTCTGACTTACCATCTCTCTATAATTATAATTATTAAATAAAAAATTGATAGTTCAGTAATAATATTTATAACCTTATAAAATTATTAAAATTTATTCCTTTGATTTTTTTCATAAACAGTTATGACCTTTTTCATTAGAATATACAATTTAAAATTGGGGATTCAAAGCTGTTATTACGGTCACGGAACCAACAACAACGTGTCAAACGGCCATTTGTTGAAGCAAACCAACACAAAAACTCGCAAACTTTACCATTGCGAACTGTATTCAACTCCATGCACGTGACCACACTTTAGCATCTCCCAGACCTAACCCGATCACTAAACCGGGCTTTAAGCAACCCGGGGTCCACCAACTCAGGACCAGATTCATGTGGACGTCTTTCGGTCAAGAATCTCACCCGTCCACGTGTAAATTCACCCATTCTCATCTCACGCTCGCTTTCCTCACGCTCCAACACCAACCACTAAAATCCCAATACTACCGATTGTATGCATATTGCATGAATAGCAACATAAACATGCGGAAAAAAAAAATAAAAAAACATTTTTCACAATAATACATAATTTATAACTTCATTTTTAACTATTAAACAATGAAAAATATTTTATTCATGTTGCATGAGATAAATAATTTCATGCAACACACAAAAAGTAGATGAGATCCATTTTTTTTTTTCTCTCTTCTTCTTCTTAGTTGGTTCCACTCACTTTTTTATATTTTACATCAGACAATTTATCTCATGTAACATAAGAAAAATATTTTCCTTAAACAATCGTAGTACGCAAAATGTTCTTAAGTGGCCACTCGATTTTGTAACATGCATCAATAGTGTTCCAGATAACCCATATCTTGAGGCTCAATGACTAGGTCCAAACCCCCCATATCCTTTCCACGTCAGTCCTGCTGACCAGTCGCTACCAACCCACTTCCCTTTCTGTTCCCTGGGTGGTTATGCCCACCCAGGTGAGACACTATACACCATAGTGTCTCTCACCTTGGGATATCAATCCTGCAAGAGACCGCCCCCAGATAACATAAATAGTAACCTCTTTCTGCACAGTGTAGCATCAGATGCTCACACCCCTGATGCATAAGTTGTCCACTGTTATCAATACAGTGTCAGCCACCCGTGGCACTCTTCGAGGAGGGTTGACCCACTACACCTACCCACACCAGGAGGATGCATGATTCTCCTATAAATACCCCCTCAAGATAATGATGGGATATCTTATGTATCGTTATTCTATTAGTTTGTAAGCTTAGAGTCACACACACATACCCCTCCCCATTTAATCTGCTAGTGTCATTCATATTTGGGACAATACTTCCTAACTTGGTAAGTACCTGTACTAGACATATAATCCATATAGAGATTCTGTCATTCAAGAAAACATATTGGACTTATAGACAGTTACGGTACAAATAGCATAATAGTATATCAGCTGACATATTTAAAAAAAAAATTTAATATTAAAATCATATTTTTCTCTAAAATATATAATTTATAATTTCATTTTGAAATCGTAATACTCAAGATGGAGAAAAGTTACTATGCACCCGGTGCAACGCACTTTTTTCTAAAAATAGAAAAAAACTAGGACATGGAAGAAAATACCTAAAATGATAGGGATAAAAGTGTCATAATTTTTTTTTTATTTTGGAAAATGGAACACTAAATTATGGTGCACCAGATCTATGATAACTTTTCTCCTCAAGATGTTTTCCGGTGGCACACTCGCTTTCGTTACACGCGCCATGAAATATCACTCGCGTTTTGGATTTTTCAATTACGAAAATGAATTGAATTCCCAATTTCCCGGTTCGAAAATCTGCTACGGCTGTTATATTATAACAAGCACGGGCACCAACCCCAACTGTAATAGTAGTTCTTGCTGTCCACGTTTTTTCTCCTTTAGTCAGCCGAAAACGACGCCGTTCAGTCAAGCTCGCCGGTGACTGGAAAATGGTGGACTCGGTGGAGCTACCGAGCGACGAGCAGCGATCGTTACTGTCAGATTCCAACAATGGTGACCGGTCTTGGCGGTTGAACTTCGACGGGTTTCAGTTGTCTTCGGAGCACACAGATAAGCAAGTTAAACCCTCTCGCGGCCTTCACGATTGCTATGGTGTTCTAGGTAACCATTTATTTTTAATTCTATTTTCCATTATTATTATTTTTTATTTTTTATTTTTGGAATCTGCTTCTTCTTTTCTTTTTCTTTTTTTGAAGTTGACAATTATTTTCATTGTTTATTCTTTGTGGAGTGGAATCTGAATTTTGCTTTACATCAGTGATTGTGGTTAACTGTGAATTATGTGCTGCTAGAATTTTTCTGTTTTGGTGTGATTTTGTGTTCTTCTTTATATGTGACCCCTTTTCTGTGTTCCCTTTGCAATAAGTCTAAGTAGTGCTTTAGTTTTCTTAAAGATGCTGGATTTCATTCAAGGTGAGTATGCCATGTTTTTATCTCCTTTTTTGGCCAGATTTAGTAGTATGTATTGAAATTTGGAAGTAGGGTAGGTTTAAAATATGGGTCTTTTTGAAGATTTGGGTTTTTTTGGGGATGATGATTTGTAGCTTGGTTATTATGCATACTGTAGTTGAGGTGGGTATTTTTTTATGTATTGGGAATTTCATGCTTTCCTGAGCAATTGGAAGCTGAATTTATTGGGTTTTGCTTTTGCACGCTCTAGAGGCAAAACTTTTCGATAACGAACTAGTAGTTTTTGGTGATTGGCTTTTACTTTTTTTGAGGTTCCGTGTTTTTTATTGGAAGAAGTTGCACAAATTTGGGGCATTAGGTTTTACATTTGAATTGAATGAATTTGGGCTTTTGCTTCTTTTCTTGTAATGGAGTTGTTTGTTGTTTGGTCTTTGCTCTTGCTAAAACCTCTGCTTTACAAGTTTTCTTATCGGTCTGCCTGTTTTGCTGTGACTTCCTTCGTATGTTTTCTGGAGCTTTTTGTAAATTTTTTGTGGTCCATATATTGAGGTTCTTTTGTCCTAAAACTGTTAGAAGCTGGTGTATCCGAAAACCATGGAAATTTAAAGCATCACTGTCTGTGACTTTAAATGTCATTTTCTTCATCTGTTGAATGTCTGTCCAGTTTTCTTTTTCTAGGGAGATTAGCTATGTTTCTTTTCTAAAGGTTATTATTTGAGTGATGGTAACTTTGCTACTTAAATGGATGGTGGATTTCATGGATCATGTCTTAATATTATTTTTCTTTTCTGTTATATTTCTTCAGGTCAAGAAGATAATATTGCTGAGTACTATCAGCAGCAGGTTGAAGTGCTTGAGGGCTTTAATGAAATGGATGCCTTAGCAGAGCGTGGTTTTATTCCTGGAATGTCAAAGGTTTCTATTTCATTTCCTCCTTTATGCTCTGTAGATTTAAGATTGATATATAGTCAAATGCCTTGGCTGAATATCCACTGTTGTGTGCAGGAGGAGCGAGACAAGTTGGCAAGAAGTGAGACTTTTGCCATCAGAATATCGAACATAGCTAACATGGTTCTTTTTGCTGCCAAAGTTTATGCATCAATCAGAAGTGGTTCCCTAGCCATCATTGCATCCACTTTAGACTCGCTTCTTGACCTCCTTTCTGGATTCATCTTATGGTTCACTGCATTTTCCATGCAAACACCAAACCCATATCAGTATCCTATAGGAAAGAAACGAATGCAACCATTGGTCAGTCCTCCTAATTAATGTTCTGTTTGAGATTTTCTTAATCATCATCTTGTGTTCTTTCCATTGTTGCCCTATATAACTGATTCTTAGGATTTGCTTTGTAATCTAATTTAATATCAAGAAAAAAATCTTAGCATACGGTTTTATTGTGTATGCATATGTTCCTTGGATAAAGTACACAATGAAAGTTCATTATCAAATAGTTAATGGCCTAATGAGTAATTATGACTTCATCTTGGTGCTGAAATTTTAAATTCAAAATTGGTTACAGGGAATTCTTGTTTTTGCCTCTGTCATGGCGACACTGGGACTGCAAATAATTTTGGAGTCTGTCCGCACGTTGATATCCAGTGTGAGTAGTTTTTTGATACTTTTCTAGAGGCAAAGCTGACACGCAAACAGATGAGACAGTAATTTTTCTTTTAGTTGCTGGATCTCATAATTTTCTAGGTAGCTCTAATGTATCTCGTAATGATATTTACAGGATAATGCATTTAAATTGACCAGGGAACAAGAGCGCTGGGTTATTGGTATTATGCTTTCAGTGACTTTGGTGAAATTCCTACTGATGATTTATTGCCGCTCTTTTAATAATGAGATTATTAAAGCCTATGCCCAGGATCACTTTTTTGATGTGATCACTAATGTCATTGGCCTCATTGCTGCACTTTTGGCAAATTATGTTTATGGTTGGATGGATCCAGTTGGTGCTATCATTGTAAGTGAATACTTTCATTATGTTAATGGTTTTGAGTTGCTATTTATTGCCCCAGGAAAGGATGTATATGTCTGCTATCAAATTTTCCGTGAGTTAATTTTTGACAAGTCTGATTCATTCCTAGGGATAGAAGGTAATGAACCAAAGTATGCAAATAGTATTCCTAGTAATCTCATCCATCAACAACCGGAACCATCTGTGTGTTTAAGCCCCTACTATGCTCCTATCTTAAAAATGCGAGATCTCAGATTCCTTAAAATGAAATCCATCATTGCAAGAGATCAATGTCAGATGACTTATGACTATCTAATTATCTTATCATAATTTCTGCTCCCTGTCCATGAATTTTGTGCATGTTACGATGGTTTGTTACATATCTTTTATTCCATATTGTGGACTGCTATGATTTTAGTGAACCGCCTTTGGTTCTTTTGAGCAGTATATTTTGCTGGAAACAATTTCTTATTACTATTTGTATACGTAACTTGCCACCTTTCTATAGCTGGTCACATATAACTTGCACTTGCTTTACTTATGTGTGATTCTTCTACTGCAGCTGGCTTTGTACACTATCCGCACATGGTCATTGACCGTGTTGGAAAATGTTAATTCCCTGGTTGGAAGATCAGCTGCACCAGAGTATCTTCAGAAACTTACATACCTCTGCTGGAACCACCACAAGGCTGTCAGGCACATTGATACCGTCCGGGCTTACACATTTGGATCTCACTACTTTGTCGAGGTTGATATTGTCCTGCCTGCAGATATGCCCTTGCAAGAGGCTCATGATATTGGGGAATCATTGCAAGAGAAGCTTGAGCTTTTGCCTGAGATCGAGCGTGCTTTTGTTCATCTTGATTATGAATTCAGTCACAAACCTGAGCATGCCCAAGCACATTCTTAGCTGCAATAAGGAAAAGAAATGCCTTCTTGTTTATTTCGTTTTTGTATATGTAAACCATTTCAGGTAGATCAGAACCTGAACATCAGTGTAAGCTACTGAAAAGGTTCTATTCCTGCACTGAGAGCTGTAGAATTGAATTAGGGACATGTCCTGAAGCCTATAATGTACCCTGAGCTCTCAATCCCAATTTATATACGGACGTCAATGGAGAGAGAATCTAAGAAATGTCATCCAGTCAAGCTCAAGTTTAGTACATAAGACCCTCCATTCAGAATAGCCCATGTTTCTAGGATTTTGACCCACAAAGAAGAGTTCCATCCGCCTGGTAGAAGTCAAGCTCAAACATTTTATCAAAACTCTCCAAAATTCATGTTCTCATTATTTGTCTAGTGAATACATGTCAAAAACCTTAATATAAGAGATTTAACAATAAATAAGATTTTAAAAATGGCTTTCATCCCTTGAAACTCAACCATGCGTCCCAAACAACTTGATAATTATAATTGTCTAGGGTAGATGTACATTTACATTCCAAGGGAATAAAACCCCCAAGAGTTTAGAACAAGTAATCTAAAATTGGTATTTAGAAAATCGAGGCATCTATTATATACCTCTTCAGGTTATCTTATAATTTAATTGCCTTTCAAGAAAATTGAGATGTCGTATACAGATATGTCTCAAACCTTATAAATAAAATTGGCAATACGTCCTCTGAGTAGGATTATCATAAACCCATTTAATTGATTGAAAATTGAGAAATCAAATAAAAAGTATATTAAAAGCTGAATTTTTGGTTTAGATTGAATTGATTTTGGTTCAATTTTTAGAATTGATTCAATCCAAACTGAACCGAACTTACACATATATAGTTTTATTTATAAACTTGTCATACTACCTATATTTATATATTTATAAAATTGCTATGCAAGTCATGCTTTTTATGAAAAAAAATACATTTGGGTGAGATAGATTTCAAGTGAACGTAGATAGTCCCGTTAACTTATTAGACCATAAACTTTATCAGTATTATATTATGGCTTATGAGATGTGATCTGATGAGATATTTGATCCTCCGAGTTAGTTTTTATCATATTTATTGTATATTTCATGGTTTATTTACTGCTTTTTTAAAAATAAAAAAAAAATCTAATTTAAATTTAAAACTAAATCGATTAAATAGTAAAATAAAAAATTAATAAAATTGGATTGAGTAATTTTTAAATTAATTTAATTCAATCTACCAACTCTCCCGGTAATTTTCATCACTATCAAATTGATTGAACTATAGGATGATATCTTTTGGGTATCACCTTTTTGTGTGTGTGTGTGGGGTTATCTCCGAGTGTCCTTTGGATTTCCATCACCATCAAATTGATTGAATTAGGCTGCTTTCTTTTGGGCATCTTCATGAAAGATTTCGGTGATGGGCCTACATATTAGGCTCGACAATATTCAATAATATCATGTCTTTAGAGAATTAGAGTTGTCGAACAGATAATGAGTCAGTAGAGGTAAAATGGAATTCATAGTTGAATTTTAGCTCTTATTTGTTCCCTATATCCCTCAAGGCCTCAACAAGAGCATCCTTTGGTGGGGTAAAAGCGAAACCTGGTGGATAATCAAACTTTTGACTATACTTGGTTTGATTATTTAGGTCCAACTTGATCATTAATGAACGGATCTTGATATCCCTATCTTCATGGTGCTTGTTGAGAATATAAATTTTCTATTTCATCTCCACGTCGTGATAAGCATGCTTCTAAGAGGAAGGTGTGCTTGAAGAAGATGTTATCATCTGGGGATTGAATCCTCTTATGCATTAATTAACATGATCATATCACGTGAAAGAGTCTTAAATCATTTATGGATAAATTAATGGTGATGATGCTGTCACTCCTTATTCTAATAACTTTTTTCTCTCTATTACTATTGGCTTGCACATAAACAGCTAGGATTCTCTCAAATGACATAATAATTTTAACTAACATATGAGAGAATATATGCTCTAACATTTCACTGTTTATTAACATGTCATATTCCTCCATAATTTAAATAATGATAAAATATTGCATTGGTTATAAATGAAGTAAGCAAGCAATATATAAATAAAAAAGGCCAATAAATTTAATTTATGAAAATTTTGAGTTGGGAGTTTATTATACTTCTCTTGGCTGCATAATAATGCAATTGATTAGTCCAAGAGAAATTGGATATAACCACGTACAATTCAGTCTGGTCCAAGTGATAATTGAAGGATGATTGCAATATAATTTGTTGTTCTACTACGCAAGATAATATATGTGGGATGATGATTATGATGCTAGAGATGTTAGTATTTGAATAATGAGATTAAGTAAACTAGAAGAATATGGTTATATAGGGGCTTTGAGTTTTTTTTTTTTTTTTTTAGTATATGACCTATATATTCCATCTTAAAATGGGGGCATACGTAGGCTTGGCTCGAATCTCGTACATGTTCATTAACCATCAAAGAAATTTATAAATCTTGAGTTGTTATAAGTCCAATTATATATTTGCCAAATTATATGTACTCGTGATATACATATTTTATTATTAATTAAGTCTTTGTCGTTTAGACTAATATTGGATCAGACTCTTCATCCTAGAGTGAGATTTGCCCATAATCTTTGAAAATGTTGGAAATGGAAAAAATTCAACCCTAACATGATCATATCTTTATATCCTTCTAGGCTTCCACAAGTAAATCGAGTGTAATAACGGGTTGGAATGTTGAACACAACTTGGTGGACTTATTTACTGGCTTAACAGTCTAGACTGACATCAAGCGAAGTAGCTTTCAACAATTGTGTCAATAACAACTGGGTTGAGATTAGACATCATAATTATAGGAGGAACAACTGTTGAAAGTAGTAGAGGTATGTGTAAAAAACATCTGGGAGTGACCAAGAACTTATAAACTCCACATTAGTTGCACATACAACCAATGTGAGACTATATATCTTAACACGCTCCCTCACACGAGAGCCCATTGGGCTTGAAGAGTGGACAATGCAACAGGCCCAGCCTACCTGTGCTAAGAAACGCCACAAGAGAAAGTAGAGGGCGGCGAGACTCTGATACCATGTAAAGAACTTTGAGATACACCACCCCAAAAGCTAACTCTAAGGGTGAGAGTGATCAAGACCTTACAAACTCCACATTAGTTGCACATACAACCAATGTGAGACTATATATCTCAACAGTCTGTAACAATTGTATTCTTGTTAACTTTATTCGTTATTAGTTACAAGATATTCTCAATGTATTGCAACTAGTCTATACCAAGATTACTAAAGAGATATCGGGATCGGATTCTTTATACAAAAAGGTAAAATCTTTATTATTATTTTTTTTGTTACAGGACAAGGACTTGACATTATAAACAATATAATCATATTACCATCAGATATCGTTAATCGTTATCAGATCAATAATTTTATGAACAACACTTTCCACCTAAAAATTTAAATTAAGCTGATAAGTGAGATCACTTTAATAATTTTACATTAATATCCTTAATAAATTTGAGGGCTGCAATAGACTTTTAATTATAAAAATCAAATAGTAAACTTTAATGAGATCAATAATTGCAAATTGCTTACATATCATTGCTTTTGATTAGGGGTGCTAAACAAGCCAGGGGCCTAACAGGGACCTTTGGCTCGGCTCGTGAAGGCCTGAGCTTACATGTCTAAAATTGATTGTCGGACCCAAGCTTGGACTTGCATAAAAGCTCGTTTAATAAAAAGACCTCATGCTCCAATTCAAAAGCTCGGTCTTAGAGCCTCTCAGGCTTGCCAAATATATTTTTTTTTTTAATTTTTTATACTACTTGTGATAGCTCTCTCTCTTCTCAATTTATTTCATCCCATTTTATTAATTAAACAGACTTTTTAAATGATTTTATTTTATATTATGCTATTTGGATATATATTAAATTTACGAATATTTATGGAATTACTAGTGCTGTTAATTGTATATTTTGTTTGGATAATTATTGTTGTCTTATTTTTTTTTAAACAGGCTAAACAAGACTTTTATTTTTTGTAAATGAGCCAGGCCACAGGCTGATATTATATTCGTAACAGGTAACAGGCTAAGGCCAGTCTGACACATTTGATCACAAGCTCGGCCTGTTAAGACCAAAGCTCGGCTCGGCTCGTTAACACCCATACTTTTGATCATTGACACGACTGCAAATAGCCAAATACTTTAAAATTGAGGATACTTGCGAAAAAAGAGATGAAGTTGTTTGAGAAGGTACAGTACTTGCTACACTGACGTTGAGTGAATTTTGGTCAAGTAAAATTTTTGTAATTTTTTTTACATGTATTAAATAGGTATAGTCTAAATATCATTAATAAAAAAAGAAATAGATACAAATTTTTTTACATGAACAGATCATATAAAATTTTAATATGAGAGAATCTATTTAATACATGCATAATATATGCATTAGTTAGAAAAAGTTACAATGGCATCAAGTTATATATAAGTCTTAGTTAAGATTTGTAACATATTTTAACTTTACAATAAGACAACCCGTGTACTCTTAAAATTGTTATTTATGAAAACAAATTAATGATGATTACTAAAAAATCTTGGTGCAGGTATAATGCATTTTCCCTAAATCTTAACCTGGCAGTTCGAACGTCCTTGAAAAGACGTCCAGGTTCATGTCAATAATTCAATACCACTATTATTAGCAAATTTCCACAACAAATAAATATTATTTTTGTCCTGTACGACAACTACATCGCATTCCTGCATCATGAGATTCAACTAAATGCATATTTTATGATAATTGGCAAGTAAATCGTGTGTAATTAGAGACTTAATGTATTAACTTTTTAATTACAAGTTTTATATTAAAAGTTATAAATCAGATAATTATATATATGAAATTTTATTATCTGATATGTAATTTAAAAAGAAGAAGAAGGAAATAAACCCTGAATTCGATAATAAAGACAAACACCTAGTCGCGCACTTCGATCTTTCCTAGGAGCATTCTGCATCAAAATGATTTCCAAAAATGAAATCCCCTAAATATTTTGTCAAAAGGAACAAAAACTAAATTTATTAAATACAAAATACAAATATTTAATACTATCTTAAAATATCAAACGTTTTTCCATGAGAAGTATATTCACCCACAAGGCTTTATATTTACACACTTTCATTTAGTCTCATCTCGTTATAGAGATCATTTTAATTAAAATTAATATTTTTTATTTAAAATATAAATAAAAAAATCTCTCATTTTCTTCTACCATAATTTTTATCATGTATTTTTTTTATTTAAAATAATATAATTTTATATTTTTCAAAAGGATAAACACCAAACTTTTCGTTAGAAAAAAATGTTTATTTTTTTAAAGAATAACCATTTTAATTAAAATTAATAATTTTTATTTAAAATGACACAATTCTATATCTTGATAAATATTAAACTCTTTAGTTATGCAAAAAATTTGTACTTTTGATGGAGAAACACCAAACCCTTTCATTTTATACAAACTTAAGTTATGATTTTATCACATACATGACTTTAATATGACTTTATCGCATAATATTCAATGACTTTATCTTGTTTGTAATAGTTGCAAGACACTAATTTTGTACCTTTCAACATGATTCATATTTGGAAAATTATACTCTTATGTTATATAAGATATATCTCTTATGTCACACTCACATAAAAAGATGTGCCCCTCTTTTTTTTTCTTTTTCTTTTTAAAAAAATTGGTGGACCCTGCTTAATTTATCTCATAACATAAGATAACATCTCTTCCATAACTGGAGAGAAATAAAGCCGTTGATATTTATCCCTTAAATTAAAACAATGTACTTCTTAAACACACTGTTTCTGTCAATGACTTGTGTTGCCAGAAAAGAAAGATGGAAGTTGAATTTTCGCAGGAAAAAACATGGTTAGTGGTTACTTAGCAATTTAAATAAAATAATAAAAATTGGGTTTCCCACTTTCCCCACGTTTCTTCTTTCCTTCTATTCTTCAATTATCATATTGAGATTTCTATGTGGGGCCTTATTCTCATTTTTTCTTTTTCTTTTTTGGTTTTCGTCTTCGAATCTTCAACAAACACCATCTTTCAATTTTAAAACACAATGCGCCACTAGTGCACACTTGCATGCTCTGACCAACCAATGCGCCGGTGGTGCGCATGGAGATAACCTACGCCTCACCAAGTTTCTCCGACCTCGCCACCGTTGCTTCCGCTTCCGCTTCCATGTCATCGCCGGCGACCTCCACCTCCCGCCCCGTAAGGGTCATCCCTTTGCAGCACCCGACCATTACCACGTCGTCTTCGTCTTCGTCGTTGCCGAATGTCGCGTTCTCGCGGTTCGCCACGAGGCTCCGGCGAATGACGTGGCTTGAATGGATCGAATTCTTCCTCCCTTGCTGCCGTTGGATTCGCATCTACAAATGGCGCGAGTATTTTCAGGTCGATCTCATGGCTGGCATCACCGTCGGTGTCATGCTTGTTCCTCAGGTAATACATCCATGGATGCTTGTGTTCTGTTTGGTTGCTGAGAAAACAGAGGAAAATGATTTTTTCTTTTTCTTTCTGAGCTTTTGAATTGCTTGCTCTTTTTTTTTTTTAATTTTTTTATTTATTTAGTTTTGAGTTAACCTTGTTATTTGTTCATGCAGTCTATGTCATATGCAAAGTTAGCTGGGCTTCAACCAATATATGGACTCTGTAAGATTGCTCAACTACTATGCTGTTGATGAATTTTCCTGATATAATTTGAATTAACTTTTGATTTTTCTGATAAGTGGGAAAAAGGTTCCTAGAGGCCAAGAACAACATTTTTGTAATAAGAAATGGGAGAACAGATTAGGACCGGGGGATAAGAAGATTGGTACCATGTTGTACCAAAGGAGTTTGTGCAACAGAAAGTCTTAATTGGTTTTTGACATTTTTAGATTTTGTATCCCACCAGATAGTTTTTGTCAAACCAACTAAATATACACGGACTGAATATACAGTACACCATGTATGACATAGCATGTCCCAAAGTTTTATCCTTATGAATCTTATCTATTATTGATCTAAACAACTGTGATGTTCATGTTATGTTCATATTGATGAAATTCTAGCCTTTTCTCTCACCAGTTGTTTGTCAGTTTCATATTATTTTTCCTACATTTCTAGTTGTTCCTCTTTTACATCCTGAAATTCTCTGTAACACTTGGTTATTAATGTTATTCTCTTTGCAAGGTAGACGCTGGTTTTGTGCCCTTATTTGTGTATGCCATATTTGGGTCTTCTCGCCAGCTTGCAGTTGGCCCAGTAGCATTGGTTTCTCTCTTGGTTTCTAATGTGTTAAGTAGCATAGCTGATCCATCCAGTGAATTATACACAGAGCTGGCAATATTGCTGTCTCTTATGGTTGGGATACTGGAGTGCATAATGGGACTCTTGAGGTATTTTTGCCATTCCTTATTTTTATCAATTTGGCTATGAATCCATGCATGAAATTTTCCTTCATTTTGCTTTCTCTTTCAGGCATCTAATACTCTAACTAAATATAGAATTGTACTTTCTCTTCAGTGTTCATGCATCTGTACATGTACAAGTGATCAAATCATTATTTTGACAAGCCAATGAACATGGCTGTAGTAATGTCATGGTAATTGTAATGGCTTAAATTGCAACATGACTACTTAATGCTGAGACGAGTGATTGGACTCTTAGTTGTAGCAGTTATATGATTCTGCAGACTAACCAATCAGCATCAAGCCTGACTTTTCTTATGAAAGGGATTTTGAGGATAACCTATGTATGTGCTTGTCTTTTGGTTATTTCAGGCTTGGATGGCTGATTCGTTTTATTAGCCATTCGGTGATCTCCGGCTTTACAACTGCTTCAGCTATTGTGATTGGTTTATCTCAAGCGAAATACTTCTTGGGGTATGATATTGACAGAAGTAGCAAGATCATACCACTGGCTAAGAGTATAATAGCTGGAGCAGATAAGGTATGCATTACATGTGAAATTTGAAATATTCAACGGATTTCTTTTGCTAGGTGGTATAACTATCTAGCAAATATTCTGGTAAAACTTAAATTGCACTTTATATAACTATCACAGAAAATTAATCCTTTTGCATCTATTTAATTTTTAACCTTTAGTACATACACTTATAGATGCTTCTGATAACCAAATGGTATAGGAAACCCAAGAAATTAGGAATAAGCTTGATAATAGTTTGATTTTGTAGGGTGAATTATAGGTGGAAATGGGTAGATTGTATCTTTAAGATTTATTTTATTAAGGAAATAACAATTTTACATACAAGAAAATGGAGTTTTAGGGACAATTCAGTGACTGCTTGGGTGTGGTGAACAGCACCTGCCAAATTAGGATTACGGTTTTGATAGGTTCTTGGGTCAATTTATACAAGGGACAATGAGGGCTTTTTTGGAACGGATGCTAACTCTGTCAAAGTAAATTAGGTCTCGGAGGGTCAGAAAATTAAATAAAAGAGAATATTTGAGAAGAAGAAAAATAATTTAAACTCAACATTTATGGTTCCTTTTGCATCATGCTCACACCTAGAATTGGTTGGCCCACACAACCAAGAAGTTGGCAATTTGCTGAAAAACTCAGAATTCAGCATTGAATCTGACTGAATGCATTATGAACATTCAAATTGACCTCATGTAACTCATCCTTAGAGGATTAGGATTGAGGCTTGGTATCATTAAACCCACAAAGAAAACATGGACTCTAAAACAATAGCCAGTAACATCTAAATAATATAAACTAAATTAAATTAATCTGTAGGTCCCTATAATTTCTGAAAATTTTCAAATAAGTTCCTATAGTTTAAAATTGTTAATTGGGTCCTTATTGTTTCAAATAATTCTCTAATTCCATAATTGGAATTATTGGGACCTATCTGAAAATTTCCAAAAAGTATGGGACCTAGAGATTATCAGATTAATTTAAGCTATAGACTAAATTCAAGTATGGCATGAGCAGAAAATACAAAAAATACTAGAATTCCTTGGATTGAATTTGTAAACTTAACTAAAATAACAGCTCACTAGTACTAATAATTCCGTGGGATATCACAATTTGCTTCATAATTATTGGTAAACCAAAATATCAAGACTGTTTGACATTAAAGCTAGCTGATAGGATTCAGATCACGATAAGGAAAAAAATGGAAATAAAAACTTGTATTAATAAAACTGAATCCTATCTCAGGTTCAGTCACAAGATTACAATGTGAGGTCCGAAGGAAATAACGGATGCTGAAATGGAAACTACAAGTAAAGAGAGACAGAGCTGGAAACAATAACGAAATAACCCACAAAGACACCACTACCCAGAGCATTCGAGAGGCCCTGGTTCTCTCCTAAGGTTCCAGCCAATGACCCAAAATTCCAAGATGATCCACAACTGAATTATTCTCTGCTGTATGTAACCGTGGGGTGCTGATTGTGTGACTCAATTCCCTGATATTCCATTCTAACTAACTGCTGACTCAGCATTAGTATTAGGAGCTTGCAATCCTCTACGCCTCTTCCTTGAGTACACCCGCCTAAACTTTTTACTTTATGCCATGTCCTTATCACTAGCTTTCTTGAGACTTGAGCATCATATGTCATTCTAGTAGCAAAGTACTGATGCTAATAATACTAAACAGGTATGCTGAAGTAATATCTATGGGATATTATAAACACCTGTATAATCATAAGTATACTCGGAATTTAAGAGAATTTGTTATTCATAACCTAGGATTTCTTGAAGCTAGTGTATCGTGCGTTATAAATATTTGGCATAAATTGTTCAAGAAGAATATGCAGTTTGATATGAAACCCTTAAAGCTCTGTTTGTTTGAAGGTTTCTGAAGAATGAGTTTACAAATGAAGCTTTTGATATGTTTATGGTTTCTCTGTTTAAAATCTTTCACCGAGTCAGATATTTGTTGCTTCATTTCAAGTTGTGAAGTTGTAGATGTTGGTTGAAAAGTGGAACCGTATTCATGAAATACAAGTTAAAAGGAAAATTTGCATAGTAAATACTAAGTAGTAAAATAAACATGTCTTTATGGTTTGAAATTTAACTTTCAGTAGTTCCGATGTCATCATCCTCTTCTAGTAGGCATTACGGCAATAATTACTGTTAATGTACTAGGTCACGGTGCATGTTGACATATGTTTAATTTCAATTTATCAAATTAATGTGCGCTTTAATATGCATAATATTTTCTTTTCATTTGAGATTCCCATTTTGAACTTCAGCCTGTGATGGTCCTGTTATTTATTAATACTTTTTAAGCACCATTTATGTTCATTTGCGTATTTATTTATTTTCTTTCCTAAGTCGTTCTGGTGTTTTCACTTATCAAACCCCTTTCTTTAACAGAGGAGGTTTTCCCTTTTGTAGTTTTCATGGCCCCCTTTTGTGATGGGATCAGTTACGCTTGCAATACTACTTGTCATGAAGCACCTGGTATGAACCTATCTATGATGTTTGCTATCATACTTATCGTTCTTGTCAACATCCTACTCATTATATTGATGTTATACATACAGGGAAAATCGAGGAAGCACTTGCGATTCTTGAGAGCTTCAGGTCCTCTTACAGCAGTAGTTCTGGGAACAGTTTTTGCAAAAGTATTTCATCCATCATCAATTTCTTTGGTGAGAATCAAATATATGAGATGAGCTTTAATCTGGATAAAGCTATAAAAGTAACGAACCAGGAATGATTACTTGCTGATACCATTGACTAGATTTAGCAATTATCTACTAATATTGAAACTGTTTGTTCTTATACTCCTATAATTGCCCATTCATAAAATTTTGAGAGAATTGCTAAAAAGGATATTCTGAATTTCTGACAATTTGCTTATCTGAGAAAAATTAACCAAAAAAGTGGTTGATCATATTGACTTAACTAACCACTCTTGGTTATGAATGTAATCAGATACATAGTAATCATGTTAATTTGTGTTTTGTTTAATTCTTCTAGAGTGCTTCCAATTATCAAATATAATGCTTTTCTGCATTTTTAATTTTAATTTTGCTGATTTAGTACTAATTTAAACTTAATATTTTTCAAAAACCTTCTTGCTTCCAATTTGCTATGTAAGCATGTATTTGGTTGAAATTGAGATTGATTTTGAAGCCATAGCGCAGATAGAAAAGCATGAAATTATCTGCTAAATGTGACTATTTCCGATGCACTAAACCAATAAAATCAGTATCTAACTTTTTGAATTCGGCTTCATTGAACATTATTATAGACATTAATTTAACCTGTCAATATGTTAATATCTAGTGTTTTGATTCAACTACAAACCCTAATTATATAATCATTTGAATCTATGGTTATTCTATGCTCTGAGAAAATTTTTGTAGCCATTCGTGTGCTCTAATTACCTCCTGAAATTGACAATGTCCCAAGTGAAAAGATGTGCATTGTTATCTGGTCTGATTATTGAGTTTTTGATATTCTAGGAGTGTTAGAGCTGTCATAACTGTTTAAATGTTCTTAATTTACTTCTCTTTTTGTTGTCATATATGAATATTCTTATCTTTTGTAAATGAGAACTATTTATGGTTAAGGTCAACAAATCGTTAACATGTTGATCAAGCTGATACAAATTGACAAATATCAATGGTTTAAAATTAGGTGGGAGATATACCTCAGGGCCTACCAAAATTTTCTGTTCCAAAAGCTTTTGAGTATGCAGAGTCCTTAATTCCAACCGCTTTTCTCATAACTGGTGTGGCTATACTGGTAAGATGTCATTTTTCTCCTATTTGAGTTTAACTAAAATAGTAGCTTGCCAACTTTGTTCTCCAATTACATAAATTTTCAAACTACAGGAATCAGTGGGAATTGCCAAGGCATTAGCAGCGAAGAATGGGTATGAGTTGGATTCAAATCAAGAGGTATATTTCTTTCCTAAATATTCATGACTCCCTGTTGGTTTCTGTTGTATAGAAGTATCTGTAATAAATAATAATGTTATACACCCTGAAAATCTGACTTGTACGGCTCCTGCCTATTATTGGACATGTCTGCCCCCCCACCCCTTTCCAAAAAAAAAAAAAAAATGCAAGAATCTAGTTGGGAGCTAGTTCACTTTGTTAAGTGGTTAGAAGGTTTGGTTGTAGTTATAGGAGAAAAGAAAGACTGGTTTCTGTTTTGTTAAGAAGAAATCTTTCACAACTATTCTTCTGGATATTTTTGGACAGTTATTCGGTCTTGGTGTTTCCAATGTTCTTGGTTCATTCTTTTCAGCATACCCCACTACAGGTATTACTTCTATGGTACTCTGAAAACTTCAATAAGGAGTCAATGTTTTGTAGTTGCGTACTTGGCTTTTGATGCCAAAGCATCAATTGATTTCAAGATTATGATTTTACTCAAGATGAACCTTATTTTTTATTGTAAAAAAAATATATTAAAATATTTTTCATTTCTTTTGGATGAGTAATGCAGGATCCTTTTCAAGGTCAGCTGTTAATCATGAAAGTGGTGCAAAATCTGGAGTATCTGGGATTGTTTCAGGAATTATAATGACCTGTGCTCTTTTGTTTCTAACGCCTTTATTTGAGTACATACCTCAGGTTTGTTTTCAAGTGATTATAGGCCATAGTCCATGTTTAAAATTGTTTTTCCTTGTGTGATCTGTTTTAAACTGGTTCAAACGGAAGTTCCACTTCTATCTGTCACATTTTACAGGTGACATCTGCTGGGATTCAATCCAAAACAGCTAGAATGATATTTGAGCAAATGCTTAAATTTGTCCTGGAAAGATACATGGGAAATCAAGTTGGTCCTCCAAAGATTTGGGACATCTATTTGATCCTTCATGGTGTAAATAATAATCAATTTAAGGACCAAATCAATGTCCTAATATACATCAGAGGACTATATTGATGTCCATTTTAAACATTGAAGGACCAAACCGATGTCCATAATCTTTAGAGGACAACTTGATGTCCCATGAGGACTAGTTTGATGTATTCACTCAATGATATTCAATAGGATATGGCATTAAGACTTAAATTATTTAATTTTTTTTCCTTTCCCTTTTTTTTAATTTTTAATTTTGTTTACTTTATTCGTACTTTGTTACTCAAATTTAAGAGATACATTTTCTTTTCTGGAATGCTGATAATGAATTTTATGTTTACATAATCCAGTGTACTCTTGCTGCCATTGTGATCTCTGCTGTGATAGGTCTGGTAAGAATTCCCCTTTCTGCTGACGGATTAATTTCATATTCAACATCCATGGGTAGTTAGAAGTGATATTTTTGTTCAATAAAGAAAAAGAGGAAGAAGTAACATTACTAGTTTTATGCGGTGGAAAATGGAAAATATAAAAAGTAGGGTTTGTTTCTATCATTGTTCAGACTGTTATGAGATATTCTTTGATATTGATAACATACGTTAATTTAGTTTGGTTTTATTATGAAATCCAATCCACTGCATAGATGCATTTATTTAGTTTTTGGGGAAGGATCCGTTTACAAACTTTTTTTACAATTTTTTTTGCAAATTACACTATGTACTCCCGGAAGTACATAGTGTAACCTAGTGTACTTCCGGGAGTACATAGTATAGTTTGTAAGAGTTTGTAAATATAACCCTCCTCTTAGTTTTTAATGTTAATTCATGTTATTTTAATATGGCTACAACTCTGTTTCATTAATAACTATCTAGTTTGCATGCAATATATTATTGACCAACCCAACTAATCTTATAATTTATTAATTCAAGTAATGGTCTATCGTAGAAAATTTTAGTTTAGCTTCTACATCATTTTAGATGCTTATCTTGTTTGTCTAAATCGACCAAGAAAGTTTTGCTGGTTACCACTTTTTACACATCTAAGCATTTACTCTTAATTTTTGACATGATTTTTTCAGGTAGATTATGATGAGGCCATTTTTTTGTGGCGTGTAGATAAGAAAGATTTTCTTCTTTGGACCATTACTAGTGCTACAACACTCTTTCTTGGGATTGAGATTGGTGTAATTGTTGGGGTGAGTACAAGGTGAAATTTGTTATGCTAATAAGTAATGGATGCATGATACTTGCCTTTTTTTTTTAATTAGAAACTCTTCATATCTTGATGAATCTACTTACTGAGGCCGAAGTCTTTATCTGGGTCATGCATATTCATTGTGGAATCATGTTTCCTAGCTAAAACTTTAGTCCTTCACTGTCTGTTATTTCATTCAAATAAGAAGAAATGGTTATAATTTATAAAATCATTTCTTAGGATATTGGTCTTATTCAAATATAAATAATGTAAATTTATTTCCCTATATTTGACTTGCAAAAATTGTTGCATTTTCCATATGCTAAGATTATAACTACTCTGACTTTCTAAGGGTTTTGAAATTTTAGGTTGGGGTTTCACTTGCTTTTGTCATTCATGAGTCAGCAAATCCACATATTGGTAAGTTGATATATCTGGGTTCAGAGTATGGCATTGTTCATTCCAATTCCATATCTATGTATGGAGTTTGTTGAAATTATAGGAATATATGTATAGAGGGAGGAAAATGAATGCTCAGAATAAGAAAACTATTGATATTGTTGTGAAGGATGTGCTACAAGCTAAAAAACACTAATCCCTATTGATATTATTATTAGGCTCCAAATCCTATTCAAATAAGGAAATAAATCATAAAATATAAAAAATAAGGAAACCATTCCTAAGAGATTGTATAAGAAACAATAAACTATTATAAGATTCAATCAATATATATTATGAAATATTTTTCATATATTCTATCAACCCCCTCAAGGTAAAGCTTACTAAGCTTTAAGCTATCACGTTAGAGACACTATTTAAGCTATCACGTTAGAGACACTATCTTCCTCACGTGAGTAACGAAGAATCATGTCATTCATGTAAGTGTTAATTTGAAAGTAAACTTAGAAACCTACCTTACTGATGACTACCTTGAACCTAAAGTAGTAAGAACAATCTTGGGTATCTATGTATCAGGATATAAGAAAAGTACATTTATAAACTTTGAAAAGAACAATTTTCTGATGAAGAGAAAACTTCCCTATTATAGAACCCATTAGGTGTACCTTAAAAGAATGAAAGTAAGAAACCTTTATGATTCAAGGCAAGTGCATATGGAGTACTGAATTCTACCTCAAAGAAATCACACTAGAATCTTCAATATCAATATAAGAAACTGCAATGGAAACCTATAACATATAAAGGAATGCTAACGGCTCAATACAGAAAAAAGCTAGAGAATGTAATCGGACCATTTGTTTTAGGTTGCAATGGATTATTCCACCGAGTTAAGATGTTTGGATTTGGTAAAGTGTTTGAATTACATCACTTGTTATGTTAATTCATTGGCTCAATTTAATCGGATGCCATGAGGAGTTTATTAAAGTACAGAATTCCAGAAGTTATTTGAAATTCCAATTTTTAAATAAGTATCCGTGCATGCCCATAGTTTTTTTAAGATATAAAAATGCATATTTTTCAAGTTTAATATACCTAAATTTATGACAACTTAGTCTTGCATCTAAATACAACATTAGTCCTTTTATATTTTTCTAGACAGGATTTGAGGATATAATCTCTCTCTCTCTCTCCCCGTGTGTGTGTGTGGTGGAAAATACATTAGTATGCTGATATTATTTTTGGTTTGCTCTGCAGCTGTTTTGGGTCGTTTGCCAGGGACAACAGTTTATAGAAATGTTAAACAATATCCTGAAGCATATACATACAATGGAATTGTAATTGTTCGTGTTGATGCTCCTATTTATTTTGCAAACACAAGTTACATAAAGGACAGGTAACAAGAAATGAGTTGTAATTGACATTTTTCCAATCAAGAGCTTTGTTTAATTCATTTAGAGTTCTCTATCAGGTTACGGGAATTTGAAGTTGATGTTGATAGTTCTACAAGACGTGGACCTGAGGCCGAAAGAATTAATTTTGTGATTCTAGAGATGGCGCGTAAGTCTTGCTTGCCCTGTGTACAAAGAAGCATATGCTGTATTGTTCATGTTTGAGCACTATCATGAAGCTAACATATTTCTGAGCTAGCTGGGAATTTGTTCCTTGAAGCTTTTTCTTTTATTTTTTTTCTTTGTATTATGTCTTTAATGTTATAGTTATTAAAAGTATTTTCCTAGTTAAAGAACAACTAGAAATTTTTGTATTTTCTAAAATGATCTCAAGCCGTCTTTAGAAGCAATCATTGTACTCCACGTTGATACTATCTTTTATTCCTTATCAACCTTTCATAAATATTTTGAAGTTGGTACTGGCTATGTGGTAAGGAATGGTGTTCATTATCTTTGTGGGTGTTGATATTTCTAATAGCTCACTGACTTAAACAATGGTCACAACCTCATTTAATCATGTCATTTGTAAATTTCCATGATAATATTGATACCCCAGGAATACAGTTCCAGATAAATTACATCATAGAGCAAGTTTCTGCACAGTTATGCTCAAAATAGTTTACTAGTTGATTAATAATACAATTATTCTTAATTTTTCGTTTTTGGGATCCTATGCATATGAACTATGAAGTTGTGTGGTATTTTGTATTGTTGCTTTTTATTTTCCTCAGACTTCTGAATTACATGAACAACAATTTACTGAGGTTCTTAAATGTTGTTTTCCACTATATTTGCTCATAAACTCAACAATGAATGTGATAATGATGAAATTTCAGCCTTTTCTGTTCTAAGCATATGGTTATGATTACTGCAGCTGTGACCTACATAGACTCTAGTGCTGTTCAGGCTTTGAAAGACTTGTATCAGGAGTACAAATTACGGGACATTCAGGTAGAATGAGATTTTGGACTTTTAACTATTGTTTGTATTCTTGAAATTATCATTACCAGTCTACAATGTTTCCACCAAACAACTTGGGTTTTTTCTTATTACAGATTGCAATATCCAATCCAAGCCCCGAAGTTCTGCTAACCTTGTCTAGATCCGGTCTGGTGGAGTTGATAGGCAAAGAATGGTACTTTGTGAGAGTACATGATGCTGTTCAAGTTTGCTTGCAGCGTGTTCAAAGCTTGAAAGGGGGATCTAACATTTCACAAACACCACTCTCTTTATCTGAAGACAAATCAAGTTTCTTAGCCCGATTATTGAAAGAGAGAGGGGAGAACCTATCAATTACAGACTTGGAGTCTGGTATTGGCAGGTCTCCACTCTCCAGGGATAGAGATTCTCAACTGGAGCCATTGTTGTCAAAAGAACATTGAAGTTTGCTGTAAAAAAATTGTATTTACCCATTCTTTCAGATAGTTTTCTAATGAATTGGTGAAAACCGGTATAATCAAGCTTACGTGTCTAAAAATGATCAGTGTAGTATTTGATTGGCCAATGGTTGTGAAATGTACCGAGTAAAATTTTAAATTTTTTCTTTTTTATTATCTGCTATTTTAAAAATCTTGGTTTGATTTGACCAAAATCTCGTTATTCTCAAAAACTATATTGCCCATATTCAAAGTCCTAAATAATTAAAGTACTTTACTCGATTCAAACTCATTTCATCTTTCCTTCATTCAAAATAAAAATAAAAATTCAGATCTTTCTCATTCAGGGGCTAATAGGATTCCTGCATCCACAAGATATAATACGTTCATTTAAAGATTTGCAATTTTCTCTTTGTAAAACTAATATAATTATATTCCTTAAAAAAGTACGTGAAAGTAGTGTCTTCAATAATTTAATAGACACTTTCAGTACGAAAAATCGAATCAAAGCAAAATTAATAAATTTTATGGCCAACCAAGCAACTTGATAGGAGAACAATCCCAAATTTAAATGATTTTTGCGGGGTTTATATCGATACTTTTTAAAAATCAATGTCAAATATTATAAATTAATTTGGTGATGATTTCCCAACATGCCTTGATATTCTAGAATCACCCTAAACAGTGGTGTTAGAAGTGCCTATGACAGCTGGTTTAAGCTAAGCATCTGAATCGAACAAGTGCGCCCTAATACATCACATCAGGAATAGGTTTGAACCTCAGCTTGAATAACTAATGACAGAAGATCTCATGCACGTGGAATAAATTGGAGTTGTTCAAGGTTTGAACCTCAAGCTTCTGGAAGAAGAGGAGGGCACATCAACAAACAATTTGTTGCCAAGGCATTTATTAGTTCACCTCATGTCCCACATAGATGAGGGAAGACAACTTGACCAAACTCCTAGTCAATAAATAAGAGGATCCCGGAAACATCAAAATTTGCCTTAAACTAATGAGTAAGGAAAACAAAGCGAGGGGTGAGAGCCACTCGCGGCATCCCCATGAGGTGCATGAATTTATGGAGGGGTTATAGGCTGGCCAAGTGTTGACGCTGCTTACTTTGCAGAACTCGCTTGTGTGGGCCTCCCAACCCTAACAAAACCCAGCAAATTGTTTTAATTAGATAGTATTTAAAATTTCACAAATCACAGAAAAAATAAATTTCATAAAATCCTTCATACTTCAAACCAACCTATATGGCCCATACACGATCAAGGCCCAGAATCCTGACTAGGACGAAAAGGAGAAAAACATGATACTTAGAAAGGTATTAAAATTGAGGAAAGATAATTTTACATGAGAATGCTAAAAAGTTTTTGAAAAAAGATAAAATGTTGATTCAACGGTTATTAGATAGATAGTGAGTTGGTAGTAGAAGATTTTGGTAGTAAGAATATCCCTCCACATAAAAATGGGAACGTGTTCATTCACGCTTATTATTTGACTAGATTGGGTGGCAGATTAGGAAAAATGGTGAAACCCCCCCTCCACATTAAAATTTAGCCATGTTATCAGCATCATCAAGAAGCTACCGCATTCGGTGGTATAGAAATGTCGCAGATTTTTTTACCTAATAGGTGCAATTTCCACTTCGTACAAGATGATAAATATTTTTCTAGATCGTAAATATATTGCTACCCGCGCTAATTGAGATTTGTTCTGTGAAAGATTAGAGATTCTAGAATTTACTTCAAGAGACAGATTATATTGGAAAAAAAAACCAAATAGAGAAAGAAAACTTGACATTATTAAATAAAATAACAAAAGTCATGACTTTTTTTTTTTTTTTTAAAAATGGGATTCTAAATTGCTTACTAAAAGGACCGTATATAGTAATTTTTTTAAACTAAGGTGCATTTCTTTGGTTACGGCATATACGCAGTTTCTTTAAGATTTTGAACTTCTCAAAATCATCGATTCTACTAGTATCTGTTGTTATTTTATAAAAATCTTTGATTGATTTATGTAATATTAATAAGGGTTCATCTAATTTTATGTTGCATGAGAGAAGATTTCTTATGTTGTAGGGTCTGTCATTTACAAGAAAAAGAAAAAAAGAAAAAAGAATGACATGATTTCGATGGATTTATTGGAGATAAAACTACTCTTATGTTGCATAAGAGTAATTTTCCCTATTAATAAAGGCGACTCCGGAATGTGTAATAGTGAGAAAAACAAAATGATGGAGATGAAACTCGACATTTTTTCTTCAAAGAATCATTATTTTGTATTTCAACTAGTTTTAACACTCAGTCATTTTTTAAAATGTCCATGCAATTATACTTTCATAATATACAAATATTAAAATTCTTGAAATTATCCTTTCAAAATCATTTTTCATGATAAACTCTTTTACAATCTGATTTAAACAACTTCAACTTCCAACTTTAAATTATAGATACGTGTGGCAATTTTATTTATTTTTTCAATTGAATGCCCAATATATCAATTATAGCATAAATAATACAACTTTAATGATATAAAAGCTTTAAATAAAATAACTAAACTCAAGCTCAAAAAATAGTTCACACATATTAATGCAAGTTTCAATTTTAAAATGCCCTCATCACATCATGAACGTACACTCATGTATTCATATATTATCTTTATTATTTAATGATTAACTATGAATGAAAGAAGCTGATATAGACCGATCACTAAATGACATGCCAAGCCATGCGCAATTTTTGGATGCTGGCAAGAGAAAGCATAGGTATAGAATGATCAAAGTTGTTGCTACACCTGCATATATGTTAACTAGAAAGGGCTAATGTTAGTGCAAGCTAATGTTGAAAGATTGTGCCATTGATTGATGATATGAATTTGTCTATATGGAGGTATTCTATATATGTAGGGATGTCCCACATGCAAATCACGTGGAGGGGGCTCCTTAAGACAAAGGAATAGTCATTTACAATATCCTCTAATCCCCTCTCAGCCAGTTATCATTTATCTCTCACGTGGGACTCCTGGTCCTACTCTTCATCCCTCTCCCTTTTTATATTTTACTCTATTTTATTGTCTTGAGTATGCATTTGATCTTCTATATATATATATGGCATTTGCACCTCTTCTTTACTCATCCTCCTTTTACACTGTTTTTACTTATATATATACAGTTGCCTAATACACTTATATATATAGTTGTTGAAGTTCACTCTAAGAGCTAGCATAGCTAGTTTTTGAATCATGGGAGATTCTTCTTCTTCTTCTGCTTCATACATTCATATGGTAAGAGAGTTCTAGCTAGCTACAACTCTATCTTTGATTTTAATTCTTTGTGTAGATCATAAGCAATCATATATTCATGGTGACATGCATGTTTGTTTAAAAATTAGGTGCAGCACCTGATTGAGAAGTGCTTGATCTTTCACATGACAAAGGAAGAATGCATGGAAGCTCTATCTAAGCATGCAAATATCAAACCTGTCATAACATCAACTGGTACGTACTCTACACTCTTTTACTCCTAGCCATCCAGTTTAAAAAATAGCAAATATACCCCTAGAAATAAAGAACATCATGTACACACATGCAAAATCACATACCATATCATGGCATGCAGAATTGAAGAGATACGAGATAAGATTATTGAAAAAGAATTGAATATATTTAAGAAATTAAATTCAGAATTAATAATATTGCAAGAGAATTTGTTTTAAGTTTTACTAAAAGAAGTAGCTAGAACTCGACTTCTCCAATATTTTCCTAACGAGTCTACTTATTCTTATAATTATATTCAAGATCAAGTTATTAATAGTTCTTTTTATATTTGATTAGACACCAATCCCTTGGTAATCTGATCCTTTATTTCACTCAAAAGCCTAATCCCTTAGTACTTTTTTCATAAAATAAGCATTAACGCAAGAATCTACAATTATAGAATTCATAAGTCCCTCACCAAAAAAAAAAAAAGAATTCATAAGTCTATCCCTAGATCATACAAACTATAGCAATTAATCAATCAGAATAAAAACACCAACATCCCTATTGTCATGCAAGATTCTAATGTCCATTCAAGATTGGCCAGATCATAAAAGAGACTAGGAATTTAAAATAGATTAATTGCATAACTTTAAATCAAGAATATAAATCATAAGAAATAAGAAAGGTAAACAGCGTTTAAGAACCCATTGGTTCCGTCTTGTCCTAACTACTTAAAGAAAATTAGCCAGACATAATCAGAAAAACAAGAACAATAGATGAAAAGAAACTAAAATTCATAAAAGGAAAATAAAACCCGGTCTCCACGATGAAGCTTTGACCGTTCCTCTGCTCCTCTGCCTTCTGGATGCGCTCCTCTGTCTCGTCTTCCGAATTGCTTTCCAAGGCTTCGTCACGTTGTATTTAAAAAATTAAAATGGGCTTTAATTTCTGGACCAGCTCACTGAGTTTTTTTCTCCTTCTCACTGTTGTGCTCGCTGGAGCGAGCAACAAAACAGGCTCACTTATACATCTCGCTGACTTGCTCGCTGAATCGAGCAACAGAGCGAGGAAGGCTGAATCTTTAATAAATATTTATTTTCGTATTTTTCCTTGATATTCAGCCGATGCCAACTGCCTTCTCATTCTCATCAGGTTAGTCATTTGTTATTTCTAGTATAGAACAACTTGAAACAATAAAAAAGATTAAGATCTTATCTAATTATTGACATTTTACTAACTTTTAATAATTTATTAATTAACATTATATTTGTAATTATATTAATTATTATTTGAACTGTATTTAGCATTAAAAATATAGTATCTTTGACACTTATCAATAAACACGTATAATATACATGATATGCAGTGTGGAATGAGCTGGAGAAAGAAAACAAGGAATTTTTTGAGGCTTATGCTCAATCCAAGAGCAAAGAGGACCGAATGTCCGAAGAAGAGACAAACCAAATGATACAGAAGATGATCTCTGATTCCTCTAAAGGTTCATGCAACGATTGATCGATCAGCCATTGAAAACGATCTTACGTATTCAGTGCGTGGACGGTTGTTATTATTTTAATATTCTAAAATAATCATACAGAGGGATCTAGCTAGCTAGTACGGAGACTTTTGTCTGGTTCTCATGACCAATAAAGATCCCTGTTGTTAAGAACCTTGAGGTCACCACCCCAAAAGCTAGCTCAAGGGGTGGGAGTGCCCAAGGCCTTATAAAGGCCATATTAGTTACCCATCCAATCAATGTGGGACTAATATATCTCAACACGCCCCCTCACGCAAGAGCCCTTTAGGCTAGAGCGTGGAAATTGCACAGGCCCATTTTTGGTTTACCCTTTTGTGCTTTTTTTTATTTTAATTCCACTTTTTAAAGCGGGGGACGGTGAGGCTCTGATACCATGTTAAGAACCTTGAGGTCACCACCCCAAAAGCTAGCTCAAGGGGTGGGAGTGCCCAAGGCCTTATAAAGACCATATTAGTTACCCATCCAATCAATGTGGGACTAATATATCTCAACACCTATCTTATATGTAAAAGCTATGTGATCCATGAATTAGCAAATAACTGCATGCCATATCAGCAGCATGAGGATTTCCATGTTGTAATTATTTGATATCACATAATGTTATATGATATAATAGATGTTGATGTGGCCAATTCCTATTTGTCTGTGTTGTTGATACTTGATTTGCAATCTACACATATTGTCATGAATAATAATAGGGTAATATTACTCTCATGTAACATGAGAGTAGTGAGAATCCAAGTAGGGCTCGCTATTTAAAAGTAAAAAAAAGAAAAAAAAAAAAGAGACACGATTTTCGATGTGAGAAAAAAGGAGATAACTACCTCATGTAAAATGAGAGTAGTATTTCCCATAATAATAAGATCAAAGAACTCACTGTAACATCAACATTACATACACCGGTTCATCTCTGAACCGTCCTTGTAAGGATAATGGGAGAGCCAAATCAACTCAAAGAAATCATTAGAGTTGAGTTAATTTAAAAAAAGTAAAGAAAAAATTACCTTACAAACATATCCAAGTGATTCCAACCATAGATTATATAATTTAAGACCATCACTGACAGGCGTCAAAAGCATTGAAGCTAGGTCTGGCTGGATTTGTGTCGTATAGAGTACTGATATTGGGATATGCCTTGTCGTATCCCGTGAATATATATGCAAATGGAAGGGTATACGATAATGACCTTTGTTCGTGGGGTTAGCAAAAAGTTTATTGGGATTGGGATTCTATATTTCTGTTCGTAAATTGAGTTATTTTTTTTCCCGGTAAATTGAGTGACTTGTACCGAATATCGTTGAGGCGAATATAGTACAAACAAATGAATGTAGCCTACACATTGAGTGAACTTGGAGAAATCGTTGTGTTTAATTTCTCATTCCTTTCTCTTTTCTATTTTCACGATTTGTGTGTTGATTTTCAACAAAATAGACCGTCGATTTTTGTTTTCAAAATAGATTTTTCAACCACGTGGATAAACTGGAAATGGGTAATTATTCCAACTTAATTAGTAGTTTTAAGTTCGAGTTTCTAGGAATTTAAATGTGTTAAAACTTGATAGGAAAAACTTTGTCACCCATATAATCGTATCCGGCCCGAATCAGAATAGTTGAGTAATACCCTAATAGCAATGATATCTTTGTGATATTCTGTTGCCCCTACTTGAATTAAGTTTAAAAAAAGGAAAAAAAGGAAAATCATTTTGTGTGTGTGGATAAATCACAAGTATTCTCCACAGAAAATAATCCTGTTCGAGGCAGTCTCATCTACATCAGAGTGAGACTAGCTCTTTGAGATTTTTTTGCATTCACACAAGAACTTGAACCCAATTTATTTTGTTTAAGTGGAATCAAGCATATTGTAACACCTTTCAACTGCGTTATTAGCATTTTAGGCACCTTACAGTTAATTTTTTTTAAAATGATGTCCTATCTGAATTTCATATGCCATGCACAAAACCCTTTTACATATGGAAGTATGAAACAAATATTAAAACCTAAAAAAACTACAATTAAATAAACACGTGCATTTAATATAATATATTAAAACATATTTACACTTTTTATTTTATATAATAGAGATATGCGATAGGTTATTTTACCTACATTTGTTTCATGTCTATTTTACCTACTATTCTCCAACAAAGTTAAATCAGAATCTTAAGAGGAGAGATAAATGATAAGAGTTAGTTAAGATTTTGATCTAACGACGTTAGAAAATAATAGATAAGATAGACATAAAAAAATAAACAGAATAACCTATCTTTTTTCATGGAAATAGCAGATGAGTGTTGACGAATTTCCTGCGGAATATCACTATTTTGGCATTGTGAAAATGGAAAAGCTAACTCAACATGTAACAATTGAGCTACTCGATCACCACAATCATTGAAATGCAACTCCTTATAATTAAGAACTGTAAAATATTATTTCTTTTGCACCGCTATGAGAAGACCTGAAGATTCCAAAGAAAACTCCATATATATGAGCATTTGTGCGTAAAAATTGAGCTGCTAACAAAACCATGCATATGGAAAATAAAAGTATGGGAGCCTGATTAGCATTTAAGATGTCTGAAAGAGTTTCATTCGCTAGGAAATAAAAAATAGAACATGTTTTTCATCAATATAAACAAATTTTAGAGATGTCTGTTCCCTTCTTCAACATTTTCTGAACCTGACAGTCAGGTAGTGTTTCCATTATCCACTTCAATAGGCCAGTCTATCAGATTGACACTTCAATGGCCCATGGAAAAAAAGGTAACCCAGTAAAATTTGTATAACTGGCGCGAGTATAATAATTTCCATCAACAAACAATTGGTTGTTAAGGCATTTATTAGTTCACCTCATATTTTAAAAGTTATGATGAGTTCCACATTGATGAGTGGAGATAACTTGACCAAACTCCCAAGTCAATAAATATGAGGAATACAGCAACATTAAAACTTGCCTTAAACTAATGAGTAAGGAAAACAAGGCGAGGGGTGAGAGCCACTCGCAGCATCCCCATGAGGTGCATGAATTTATGAAGGGGTAATAGGCTGGCCAAGTGTTGACGCTGCTTACTTTGTAGAACTCCCTTGTGCCGGCCTCCCAACCCTAAAAAACACAACAAATTGTTTTGTTTTGAGAAGTATTCGTTATATATGTTACTGTTCAGCAGGTGGTCTTGCATTCATTTTGGTTGAATTTTCGGAAATAGAATATGTGAATCATTAATTAAAAATGTAAATAGGCAGCATAATATAATTCTATAAATATCATATTACCTAAAAAATATTAACATTGTATAATTAAATTTCTTAAAAAAATAAAAATTTAACATGTGCTCAAACGGTATTTCAATAAAATCCTAGAAAGAAAACAAAGAATTTTGTGTGTCAGAAACCCTGGCAAAGTTATTCATGAAATGTTGAGGCTCACATTTCATAAAATCCTGTTTAAATTTCAAAATATTAAATAATTTTATTTTTGTTTAATAGATTTTTTTAAAATTTTAACATATGCTATAAATATTATTTCAATAAAAACCTAAAATAAAACCTTAAGTAAGCGGAATAAAAAACATGTACTTGAACCAACTCCCGCTTAAAATCCTTTGTCATTTTTTTTTTGGGTACATTGCCAGGAGGTATCCCCATTCCCATTCAACCTTCTCCGGACGAGACTAATCCCGGCAGAGTTTGATCCCTGCACAAAGCAATCCCTTGGGAGCTCAGCTGCCAACTGAGCTACCTTGGGGGTTAATCCTTCGTCATTTAACCAACCTATATAAAGAGTAAAGCTCATATAACTGGCATGGATTGAATATTTTTCAATATGACCCAGAATCCATAACTACGACAATTAAAAAGGGAAAAAAGAAGGAGATAATACCATATATTGAACTTTTATAGTTTTATTAATCTAAGCTGCATTTCTTTAGTTATAGCAAATACGCAGTTTATTTTAGATTTTGAACTTCTCAAAATCATCAATTCTACTACTATCTGTAGTTATTTTATAAAAGTCTTTATGATTGACTTATAAGGAATGTGCTATAGTGAAAAAAAAAATAGATTTTGAGATGAAACTCGACATTTCTCTTAAAAAAAAATCATTATTTTATATTGCAAAACTAATTTTAGAAAGTAAGAGTCAGTAATTTTCAAAAATGTTCACGCAATTATACTTTTATAATATACAAAAATTAAAATTCTTGAAATTATCCTTTCAAAATCATTTTTCATAATAAACTCTTTTACAATCTAATTTAAACAACTTCAACTTCCAACTTTAAATTTATAGATACGTGTGGCAATTTTTTTTTTTTTCAATTGAATGCCCAATATATGAATTGTAACATAAACAATACAACTTTAATGATATAAAAAGCTTTAGATAAAATAACAAAACTCAAGCTCAAAAATAGTTCACACATAGAGGTTATATTTACTATCTTTTTTTCTTATTACCAAATCTTAATTGTTGATTTCTGTCAATCTAACGGTTATAATTTATTGAAATTTAATAATTAATTAATAAGTGTCAATAAATTATAACCGTTAAATTGATGAAAATCAACGGTTAAGATTTAGTTGTAAGAGGTAGTAAGAAAAAAAGATACTAAGTATAACATTTCCCCACATATTAATGCACGTTTCAATTTTAAAATGCCCTCATCCCATCATGAACGTACACTCGTGTATTCATATTATCTTTATTATTTGATGATTAACTATAAATGAAAGAAGCTGATATAGACCGATCGCTAAATGACATGCCAAGGCATGGGCAATTTTTGGATGCTGGCAAGAGAAAGCATAGGTATATAGAATGGTTAAAGTTGTTGCTACACACACACATATAAGGTCCCACCTCCCATTAAAAAATATGACGAGTCCTATCTCCTATTAAAAAATAAAAATAAAAAAAGTCGTTGCACATACTTCGATGTATCACTAGTAAGAAAAAGAATTCTCCTATAACATGAGAATTCTTTTCCCCAGATATATATATGTTAACTAGAAAAGGCTAATGTTAGTGCAAAGTAATGTTGAAAGATTGTGCCATTGATTGATGATATGAATTTGTCTATATGGAGGTATTCTATGTAGGGATGTCCCACATGCAAATCACGTGGGAGGGGGCTCCTCAAGACAAAGGAATAGTCATTTACAATATCCTCCAATCCCCTCTCAGCCAGTTATCATTTATCTCTCACGTGGGACTCCTGGTACTCCTACCTCTTCATCCCTCTCGATCCCTTTTATATTTTACTCTATTTTGTTGTCTTGAGTATGCATTAGATCTTCAACATATCACATTTGCACCTCTTCTTTGCTCATCCTCCTTTTACGCTGTTTTTACTTAATTACATACAGTTGCATAATACACTTATATATATAGTTGTTGAAGTTCACTCTACAAGAGCTTGCATAGCTAGTTTTAGGATCATGGGAGAGTCTTCTTCTTCTTCTTCTGCTTCTTACATTCATATGGTAAGAGAGCTATCTTTGATTTTAATTCTTTGTGTAGATCATAAACATGCATGTTTGTATAAAAATTAGGCGCAGCACCTGATTGAGAAGTGCTTGATCTTTCACATGACAAAGGAAGAATACATGGAAGCTCTCTCTAAGCATGCAAATATCAAACCTGTCATAATTACATCAGCTGGTACGTTCTACACTATTTTACTCCAATTCATCCAGTTTAAGAAATAACTTATATACCCCTAGAAACAAGGAACATGCATGTACACACATGCAAAATCACTTACCATTTCATGGCGTGCAGAATTGAAGAGATATGAGATAAGATTATTTGAAAATAATTGATTATATATATATATATACCTAGTTATATGTCCCTGACCTTTTTATACTAGCTAGTTAAATTTGTTGATAAACTAATCAAAACCCTCAATATTATAATTCTTTTGGCTTGATCAATGAGAATGCATTGAGAGTTTACCAGACCTACTAACCTGGAAGCTTCTTTGCTAGTACTCAACCTTGGAAAGTTTGCAAGCCCAAAACAAGGTCAATATATTTGTTAATTAGATATAATTAACTCTTGACCATTCCAACAAACTTTTTAAACTTTTGGGTCTATAATTTATTCATGCTGCAAGCTGAAAAGATTTTTGAAAACATGTTAGAAATCTAATTAAATTAGAAAAAAAAACTTTATATTTTAGTTTTAACCATTTTTTTCAATTTGATTCACCGTAGATTAATTTTTATATGATATAGTCTCTTACGGATTAATTTTAAGAGGGTTGTGAGATGTTTAATTAAGATTGAAAGATGAGGACTATTATTATATATGTTTATATAACACGCGTCTAAGATTCAATTACAAGTAAAAATGAATATAAGTACATATGTCTGTTTCATATCCGATGTAGCTTGTACTACTAAAAAAGTCATTTTTTTAACGGAAAAATTATGTCGAAAATGGTATAAATTTCGTCGAAAATGAAGTTTTCGACAGAATTCAAGTCGTCGAATTTTCCTCCATTGATAACCCATTTTTCGACAAAATTCAAGATTCCGTCGGAAAATTTTCGACGAAATTTTTTGACAAAATTTGTTTCTGTGAAAAATTTTCGACTGAATTTATTTCTGTGAAAAATTTTTGACGGAATTTATTTTCGTGGAAAATTTTCGACGGAAAATCAATGGAATTCCGTCGAAAATTATTGTGGTGGTTTTCGACGGAAAAACAGATTTCGTTGAAATTTTTTGACAGAAAATCAATGAAATTTCGTCGAAAATTGATGTGAAATTTTTTGACGGAAAACAAATTGCGCCCAAAAATTGCAACAAAAAATCAATGGAATTTCGTTAAAATTTGTTAGGATGGTTTTCGACGGAAAATGGATTCCGTCGAAAATTTCCAACGGAAAATCAATGAATTTTTGTCGAAAACAGATGTAAAATTTTTTGACGGAAAACAAATTTCGTCAAATTTTTTTAGATTTTTTTTAAAAATTTCTCTCTACAAAATTAATATCAATTTTCTATAATGCACTTGATAAAAAATATAATGAAAATAAACAACATATCAAAATCAAATCTCCTTAATCATTACATTAAATGCACAAAAGCCCCTCTAAAGTATTTAAAAAGGCTTGTACAATTAGCGAGCGAAGTACAATAAATATATATTGTAACCTTAAAAAATTAACAAATAAAATTAACATATCAATACGCAATACAAAATTGACTTCATAAATCAACGAAACAATTTCTTCTTATAATACATGTATCTCCAAACATTATTATTAAATCTGGAGGATGCTATAATAAAATTAATGGAAAACAAAAAAGTAGCTATGGATTCAAATTGCTATAATTCAAGTCTATAAAAAAGTAGCTATGGATTCAAATTGCTATGATTCAAGTCTATAACTAGAGACAAAAGTAACATTGGAATAAATTCATAGGTACAACCTAAAATACATGATGTGAGACTAAGCTTATATTATTTCTACTGTATGTATATATAACATTTTCAAACTGGAGCGTATAAATCATAAGCACCAAGCTTGTTATATATATATTCTATTCAAAGACCATTCAAAGACTTTATAAATACATCTACTAATTGATCATTTAAAGGATATAAAACTGGTCATAATTTCACCAGCAAGGACCTTCTCTCGAACAAGATGACAATCGATCTTGATATATGCTTGGTTTTTTCATGAAATACTGGATTAGAAGAAATATGTAATGTTACTTGGTTGTCTCAAATGAGTGTCCATAAGACAACTAGCAGATGAATTGTTTGTGGATAGGATGAAATAATTCCTAGCTACAGCTTTCTTCTATGATACTTAAAACTCAATTTTTAATTCTTTGTGTTCTTGCATATTCTTTATTTTCATTGCAATTGCTTTCAATTATTTTTATTTTAATTCAAACATGATTACATCAATTTGATTTGTCCAAATTAGAGAGAATATTGAAAATAATACTTGGTATCATTAATTCTCGTCGGAACGATATCTTTTTTATTACTTTATTACTTGTACGATCGGTATAGTTGCCCTGATCGCAACATATATTTAATATTTTATTTTAGTTTGAAATTTATATTCAATAATTTTCAAAAATTATGATTAAATTTCTTTTACAAATCGAATTTTATGCTAAAAAGCATTTCATTAGAAAAAATAAATATAATAGTGATAGATATCAAAGAAAAAAAAGGCAAAACAAGGAAAAAAATAATAATTTAAATGAATACGATATACATTAAGAATGTGTATAACAGTGAATAAACATACATAATCGATATATTTAAATTATTAATATTTTATTTAAATTTAAGTAAAATTATGAATATGATATATATTATAAATTAAAAAACTTAAAATCTAAACGATTAATATATACATTACGAATATACATTATCAACATGAATATAATAAAATTTAAGTATGATCATAAATACAATATCTTTTATGATTAATTTTTATAAATATAATTTTATTTATTTATAAGAATTTTCGAAGAAATTCATTTTTCGTCAAAAATTTTCTGACGCGAAACGAATTTTGTCGAAAGATTCATAAATATAATTTCTTATTTGATTTTCTTTGTAAGAGTTTTCGACGGAAAATGAATTCTGTAGAAAAAATCATCAATATAATATCTTTTATGAATTTTATTTTTTTGTAAAACATTTTTGATAGAATTCGTTTTCAGTTAAAAAATTTCGTTGAAATCTGATTTCCGTCGAAAAATTCTTAATTATTTTAATTTTTTACAAGATTTTTGACGGAATTCATTTTCTGTCCAAAATTTTCGACAGAATCTGATTTTCATAGAAAATTTCATAAGTATAATTTTTTTATTTATTTTATAAAAAGAATTTTCGACGGAATTTGTTTAGCGTCGAAAATTTTCAACGGAATCTGATTTTCGTCGAAAAGTTCTTAAATATTATTTTTATGCCAAAAGTGTTTATCCTTTTAAATAACACAACTTATATCCTTTTACTCTCACAAAGAGGTGAGACCCTCACTTTTATTTTTTTGTCAACTCTCTTTCCTCCTTTGTCTATCTCTTTCTCTCTCTTAAAATGACACAACTTTACATCCTTTAAAATTACATACACTTTTTCCTTTTTTTTATTTACTCTTTTGTAAGTTTTCGACGAAATTCGTTTTCCGTCAATTTTTTTGACGAAATCTGATTTTCGTCGAAAAATTCTTAAATATTTTTTTCTGATTTATTTTTTTATAAGTTTTCGTCGGAATTCATTTTTCGTCAAAATTTTTCAACGGAATCTGATTTCAGTTGAAAAATTGATAAATATAACTTTTTTTATAAGAATTTTCTATAGAATTCATTTTTCGTCGAAATTTTTTTACGGAAGTTGATTTTCGTTGAAAAGTTCTTAAATATATTTGTTTTTATATTTATTTTTTTATAAGTTTTCAAAAAAATTCAATGGAATCTTATTTCTGTCAAAAAATTCATAAATATAATCTCTTTTATTTTTTTTATATTTTCGATGGAATTCATTTTTTGTCGAAATTTTTGAGGGAATCTGATTTGCGTCGAAAAAATTTTATGTAATATTTTTTCCATCGAAAACTTCGACGGAATATTTTTCGTCAAAAATGGAGACTTTTCTAATAGTGAACCAAAGACATGTTGGGTCAAAGGATATAAAGGTTGATGATGGAACAGAACAGAGTGAGGTACCTTGTGATGAAGAACATAAGAGGGCATGCAAATAATGAGATAACATGTGATGGGAACAACATCACCATAAACTCGTAGGGAACATTGCCATCAATTAACAATGCTCGAGTAGTCTAAAGAAGGTGACAGTTTTTGCGCTCGGCTACACCAAGTTTTTTAGGCTTATGAGGACAAAATGTTTGATGAAGAATGCCATGAGAAAAAAGAATTGTTTAAATTGATGAGATAAATCTCATAGGCATTATCACTTTGAAAAGTACGAATAAGAATACGAGACTGAGTTTTGATTTCGTTAAACAATAACTAAAAAATAAAGAATAACTCATAACGATTTTTCATTAAAAATAACCAAGTACACATGGAATAATCATCAATAAATGTAACAAAATACATAAAACCCAAAGAAGAAGGATGGTGACTTGGCCCCTAAATATCAGAATGGACCAAAGAAAAAGGAGATAAAGCTCGACGACTAAGACGACTCGGGAACGTGCTACAAGTATGTTTCCCAAACTGACATGACTCACAATGTAAACTAGAAAGAGATGATAAATGAGGTACCGTTTCCTGAAGCTTGACAAGATTTGGATGACCCAAACAAGTATGGATAGTGAGGGAAGAGTGCACAATAAAGCAAGCTGAAGAAGAAAGGAAAATTTGATAGAGACCGTGAGATTCACATCTTCTGGTAATCACCTTCCCCGAACTTTGATCCTGCAAAATGACTTAAGTTTTTGTAAAGAAAACCACACAATCAAGGGATTTGGGGAAATGATTAATGGAAAGTAAGTTAAAAGGGGAACAGAGACCATACAGAACATGATCCAGAGATAAAGTGAGGAAGAGAAGAACCAGACCAATCCCACGGTATTGAACCAAAGACCCATTAGTCATAGTAATAATAGGAAATAAACTAGTAGTACAAAGAGAGATGAATAAAGACTTATTACCAGAAATGTGATAAAAAGTCCCAGAATCAAGAGTCCAAGGGCCTAGAGATACCAGATGGAGTAATGGAGGCAGTATAACCAGATGCTTGCTTCTCAGACCACAAAGTCATAAATTCATTAAAAAGATATGCAGGAGGTTGTGGTGCAGAAGGCAACCCTGGATCAGAAGCAATAAAAGGAGCTTGAGCAACATGAGCAATCCGAGGAGGTTGATGTTGCTTGCCATGGAGCTTCCAATAGCAGTCAATAGTATGATTGGTCCGATGACAATGAGAGCAAAGTAATCGACCCTTAGAGGGTTTACGTCCATGACTAGTTGGAGACTCATAAGAGATAGGAGTAGTATCCATAATCACCAAAAGAGACTAGATCCAAAACCATCTCGTAGTGGGGAGAAAAACCTAACTGGTCGCTGCCGGAAAAGAGACACCACGCGCTAGCCAACCGAAGGGAGAGGTGAAACTTCCACGTGAACGTGTATAATTGAATGAGACTACGACCTGGACATAGAGAACTGCGCTGCCGAGGCAAGCACAACGATAGGTAGTTTGTCGGGAAAAACCACTGGACAACGGTGGTCAACAATGGAGGAGCAGCGGTCAATGGATTTTCGATTGTTGTTTGCGAGGAGAAAGGGCTGATAATATGTAGAGACGACCCAAGAATAAAAGAGACGTCTAGAAACTGACAAAGATACAATATTCGATTTTTTTTTCTTTTTGAAAAGGCGATAATGAACCGTGAGTTCACTGAAGAAAATAAGTGGATCAAGATTCCTCTCGTGCGTTAAGCTCTAGATACCATGTAGAGTAATAAGAGAGGAAGGAAAACATTGAAATAAATCCGTGTGTATAATAGCACAGCGGAAGTTATGTTATATATAGAATTATTGAGTACATACAACTTGAAATACATTATGTGAGACTAAGCCTACAATATTTCTAGTACATGTATATACAACACCTTGCACCTCCAAACAATCCAAACACAAACACAACCATGCACGTGACATATATTAATTGCAGTCACATATATTAAATATATAATTAACATCCGTATGTTCTATTAATGAATATTAAACACTTATAATATATATGATATGCAGTGTGGAATGAGCTGGAGAAAGAAAACAAGGAATTTTTTGAGGCTTATGCTCAATCCAAGAGTAAAGAGGACCGAATGTCCGAAGAAGAGACAAACCAAATGATACAGAAGATGATCTCTGATTCCTCTAAAGGTTCATGCAACGATTGATCGATCAGCCAATATTGAAAACGATCTTACCTCTATGTTTCGCTTCAGTTCCTCTAAGTGTTTTTTTCTCCCTCTCTCTCTCTCTCTCTCTCTCTCTCTCTTTACACTACTTTGTAGTGTCTCTAGCTACATTACTGGTCCCCATTCAATGTATGGACGGTTGCTATTATTTTAATATTTTAAAATAATCATACAGAGGGGTCTAGCTAGTACGGACATTGTCTGGTTCTCATGAGTCATGACCAATAAATATCCCTATCTTTTGTAAAAGCTATGTGATCCATGAATTAGCAAATAACTGCATGCCATATCAGCAGTATGAGGATTTCCATGTTGTAATTATTTGATATCACATAATATTGTTACATAATGTAAATATGTAATAGATGTTGATGTGGCTAGCTAATTCCTATATATTTGTATATGTTGTTGATATGCGATCTACACATATTGACACAAACAATAATATAATAAAATCAAAGAACTCACTGTATCGTCATTCGTCAACATATATAACTTAAGACAATCACTGACATGCCTCAAAAGCATTGAAGCTAGGTCTGGCTCTATCTGTTTTGGGGTATGCCTTGTCCTACGTGAATGTATGGAAATGGAAGGGTGAATTGTTTGTAACAACTTTCTACTGGGTTATATATTAGCTTTTTAGACCTTACGGTTTAAAATTTTAAGAGTTAATGATGCATTATGTAATATATATTAATTAATGAATTTATACCTAATTAAAAATTCAACATTTCAATAATCTATTGTGTTATTCAACTGGTTGTTAAGGCATTTATTAGTTCACCTCATATTTTAAAAGTTATGAGTTCCACATTGATGGGTGGAGAGAACTTGACCAAACACCCAAGTCAATAAATATGAGGATTCCAGCAACATTAAAATTTGCCTTAAACTAATGAGTAAGGAAACAAGGCGAGGGGTGAGAGCCACTCGCAGCATCCCCATGAGGTGCATGAATTTATGAAGGGGTAATAGGCTGGCCAAGTGTTGACGCTGCTTACTTTGTAGAACTCACTTGTGCGGGCCTCCCAACCCTAAAAAACCCAGCAAATTTTTTTGTTTTCAGAAGTATTCGTTATATGTTACTGTTTACCAGGTGGTCTTGCATTCATTTTGGTTGAATGAAAGGAAATAGATTATGTGAATCATTAGGTAAAAATAAAAATAGGAAGCATAATGTTATTCTATAAATATTTACCTAAAATTATTAATATTATATAATTAATTTTTTTTTTTTCAAAAAATTTAACATGAGCTCAAACGGTATTTAAATAAAATCCTAAAAGAAAACAAAGATTTTTTTTTGTGTGTGTCAGAAACTTTGGTAAGTTATCCATGAAATGTGAGGTTCACATTTCATAAAATTCTGTTTAATTTTCAAAATATTAAATACTTTTATTTTTGTTTAATAGATTTTTGAAAAAAAATTAACATGTGCGCCTATAACATTATTTCAATAAAATCCTAAAACATTATAAAAATCTTTATGATTGACTTAATTATATAATATGAATTGATTTTAATAAAGGCGACTAAGGAATGTGCTATAGTGAAAAAAAAATGATTTTGAGATGAAACTCGACATTTATCTTTAAAAAATCATTATTTTGTATTGCAAAACTAATTTTAGCAAGTAAGACTCAGTAATTTAAAAAAATGCCCATGAAATTATACTTTTATAGTATCTAAAAATTAAAATTCTTAAAATTACCCTTTAAAAATCATTTTTTATAATAAAATCTTTTACAATCTAATTTAATCAACTTCAACTTCCAACTTTAAATTTATGACAGAATTCAGCACAACGTTTAATGAATATAAAAGTTTTAATAAAATAAACTAAACTCAAGCTCAAAAAATAGTTCACACATTAATGCGAGTTTTAAATTGAAAACTATGCCCTCACATCATGAACACACACTCATGTGTTCATATTATCTTAATTATTTGATGATTAACTATAAACGAAAGAATTGACATAGACGGATCGCTGAATGCCATGCCAAGGCATGGGCAATTTTGGATGCTGGCAAGAGAAAGCATAGGTATATATGTTAACTAGAAAGCTAGGTTAATGTTAGTGCAAGCTAATGTTGAAAGATTGTACCATTGATTGATGATATGAATTTGTCTATTTGGAGGGATTCTATGTAGGGATGTACCACAAATCACGTGGAGGTGGCTCCTCATCAAGACAAAGGAATAGTCATTTACAATATCCTCTAATCCCCTCTCAGCCACTTATCATTTATCTCTCACGTGGGACTCCTGGTCCTACCTCTTCATCCCTCTCCCTTTTATATTTTACTCTATTTTATTGTCTTGAGTATGCATTTGATCTTCTATATATATCGCATTTGCACTCTTCTTTACTCATCCTCCTTTTACACTGTTTTTATATATTTATATATATAGTTGTTGAAGTTCACTCTATAAGAGCTAGCATAGCTAGTTTTTGGATCATGGGAGAGTCTTCTTCTTCTGCTTCATACATTCATATGGTAAGAGAGTTATAGCTAGCTACAATTAACTCTATCTTTGATTTTTCATTCTTTGTGTTGATCATAAGCAGTCATATTCATGGTGACATGCATGTTTGTATAAAAATTAGGTGCAGCACCTGATTGAAAAGTGTTTAATCTTTCACATGACAAAGGAAGAATGCATGGAAGCTCTCTCTAAGCATGCAAATATCAAACCTGTGATAACATCAACTGGTGCGTTCTTCACTCTTTCACTCCAAGTCATCCAGTTTAAAAAATAACATATATACCCCTACAAACAAGGAACATGATGTACACACATGCAAAATCATATACCATTTCATGGCGTGCAGAATTGAAGAGATATGAGATAAGATTATTTTAAAATAATTGATTATATACCTAGTTATATGTCCCTGACCTTTGTATACTAGCTAGTTAAATTGGTTGATAAACTAATCAAAACCCTCAATATTATAATTCTTTGGCTTGATCAATGAGAATGCATTGAGAGTTTACCAGACCTACTAACCTGGAAGCTTCTTTGCTAGTACTCAACCTTGGAAAATTTGCAAGCCCAAAACAAGGTCAATATGTTAGATGTAATTCACTCTTGACCATTCCAACAAACTTTTTAAACTTTTGGGTCTATAATTTATTCATGCTTCAAGTTGAAAAGATTCTTGAGTGAGAAACATGTTAGGTATCAAATTAAATTAGAAAAAAAAAAACTTTATATTTTAATTTTAACCAATTTTTTTTTTTTTCAATTTGATTCACCATAGATTACTTTTTATATAACAGTCTCTAGCTTACGGATTAAAAGTTGCATGAATTCAGTCCTTTGTGAGATAAATCTCATGCTAATTTAATCAAATGACTAAACTTTGGTGAATGAAAGATTACATTAATTACAAAAATTTATTTGTGATACCTAATTAAACTAAAAACAAGCATATTAATTAATTTGTAAGGGATAAAGGGATCAAAATAGACTGTTGTTGATATTATTTTGAACCCTTCTTAATGTGAAATTTTAAGAGAGTTGTGAGATATTTAATTAAGATTGAAAGATGAAGAGTATTATTATATATGTTTATATAACACGTGTCTTAGATTCAATTACAGGTAAAAATGAATCTTTAGACACGTGTGTGTACGTGTGTGTGTTTCATATCCGATACCTTGCACCACCAAACAATCCAAATAAACACAACCATGCATGTGACATATATTAATTGCAGTCACATATATTAACTATGTATAACACCGTATGTTCAATTAATGAATAAACACTTATAATATATATGATATGCAGTGTGGAATGAGCTGGAGAAAGAAAACAAGGAATTTTTTAAGGCTTATGCTCAATCCAAGAGTAAAGATGACCGAATGTCCGAAGAAGAGACAAACCAAATGATACAGAAGATGATCTCTGATTCGTCTAAAGGTTCATGCAACGATTGATCGATCAGCCATTGAAAACGATCTTACCTCTATGTTTCGCTTCATCAGTTCCTCTAAGTGTTCCTCTCTCTTTACTCTACTTTTTAGTGTCTCTAGCTACATTACTATATATTGTAAGTGGTCCCTATTCAATGCATGGACGGTTGTTATTATTTTAATATTTTATAATAATATGTAATATAAAGTTCTCATACTGAGGGATCTAGTACGGAGATTGTCTGGTTCTCATGACCAATAAATTAAAGATCCCTATCTTATGTAAAAGCTATGTGATCCATGAATTAGCAAATAACTGAATGCCATATCAGCAGCATGAAGGATCCGTGTTGTAATTATTTGATATCAGATAATGTTACATAGTGTTAATATGTAATATATTGACATGAACAATAATAAAATCAAAGAACTCATCACTGTGTCGTCGACATGTATAATTTAAGACCATCACTGACATGCGTCAAAAGCATTGAAAATGGAAGGGTATAGAGTTAAAGTAAAAAAAAGTTACAAAAAAAGAAAAGAAAGAAAAAGGTAAATTGTTTGTAACACCTTTCAACTGGGTTATATATTAGCTTTTTAGACCTTACGGTTTAAAATTTTAAGAGTTAATGATGTCCTGGCTGAATTTCATGTCAAGCACAAAACCCCTTTACATGAAAGTATGAAACAAACTATTAAAACCTAAAAAAACTAACATTAGATAAACAAGTGCTTTTAATAATATTAAAACATATTTACAATTTTTATTTTATATAATAATGACATTGAGCTTTTTACCTATATCCCTATTAAAACTATTAAAGTCCCTCACCATTAATTAGTTCACTTCTAGTGGCTTAAAATTTAATATTTAAGGAAAAATTAATCTAAACTACACAACTAATAATAGTATCATTAATTTTCGAAAATTATATTTAAGTGAAAATAATAATATTTGTTTCTTTAATTATGTTAATTCTCCAATTAACTATGAATCTATGATATCATCGAAGATTTAAAGAGTTTTTGACAATACGAGAAAATTAAGATGCCTTGTCGTTTAAGCTTTTAAACTCAAATACGACTTTGTTCTTCATTAAGGATGAAATAATTAAAGAGAAGGTGTGCTTTATAAATAAGAGATGAAAATGATGGATGAGACAGAATGAAGAGCCACTGATAATTCAAGCTTTTGCTGCCAACACATGGATATATTCTTTCGAAAATAGAGACATCGATTTGTCTTTTAAGCAGAAATTTTTCTGAGGCCGAAAACGTATGATCTATAAAGCATCCATATTTTAAAAATTCTGATGTGTTATGTGTGTCATTTTTCGATACCTTCGAACATTTTGACATTTCTCGACATTTCAACACGAGTTATAAAAATTCAAAAAAAGTTTCAAAGATTAAGTTGCGTTGAGTTTTTAGTTCTAACTATTAGATTCGTTGGATTATGATTACTATTTTATTGAGTTTAATATAAATATTTAGAATATCTTATATTTCTTTGCAAAATTTATGAATATTATAAGTTTAGATATATATTTTTGTTAAATTATTAAAAATTAAATATAATATATATTATATAAATTAAAAATATTATTTAATATCAAAACGTGTTCAATTTTAACGTGTCAAAATCTAACATTTTTTAAAATTAATGTGTCAGAGTGTCGTGTCGTATTATATCGTGTCACGTGTCCCGTGTCAGTATCAATGCTACATAGAGTATGAGGTAGATTAAACAGAGAAAAGATAAATGACTCTGTCTTAATTTCAATTATTAAAATATGGGATAAACTAATCTCATTTTACATACAAAAATATGTCTCATGTTTTGATAAACTTGACGTGGGTTCCATTAAATAAAAATAAAAAATAAAATAAAATGAGACTCATATTAATTTTGTGTCACCAGTTAAGAGAAGTTAATTTCTTTAACACGAGATTAGTTTATCTCTTAAAATATTATAAAATTTTACTGTCCAGTTGCAATTATTTCTCTGACATTGCAACTTGCATAAACTAACAAGTGTAGTGCCTTTTTGTACTAAGATGCTCGACTTTTGTGCTGGCATTAATAGTAACTTTTGAGCATTTTGGAATATGACATATATGAAAAATAATTTTTTTATGTTGTTGAAAAATAATTATAAAAACAAGATTGTAAGTGAAACTCGTAAGTAAGAGTGATATCCACTCATCTTTTATATGTGTAGAAAATTTAGTTATGTAATCTAAAATGAGATAAATATAATCCAACATTTATCTATGTTCCTCATTTATTCATGTAAAACTGCATTCTCTTGTCTTCTGCTTTTCTCTATTGACTGTTTTTTTTTTTTTTTTTAAATATTTCAATCGGTTCATTGTTTCGTAATTAGTCTGATTTAGAATGATTTCATGATTGAAGTTTTAAATCCCTTCTAAAGGTGAAACTGGAAAGGATTGAATACATGTTCCCATCCTTTATTGCTCAGCTCTCATGCATCAACTGAATTATTGTCATTTGATCTGCTGACTGTTTTCAACATACATATTTTATTCATATTTTTAACAAGTCATTACTTTTGCTTGTGTTTTACACAATTTAAAATCAGGTTAAAATAATCTTGTCTAAATCCTTAAAAAATTGCGAGCATTTGGTTGATGTATTAGGGATTGGATTTTTAGTATATGCTACTGATGCAAATTTTTTACTAGCTAATGAATCTTCCAAGTTAATTTCATTTTAGTTACATATGTCAAAGCTTTTAATTATACTCCTTATGAACTAACTTGTTGCTCCTTCGCTGCAATGGTTCACAGCATTGAGAAAGATGATGAAAAGAAATATGTCCACTCTGTTCAGATAGCAACATCTAGTAGATGGCAAATTCCAAATGTTAGGGGATGAAAAATCTACCTTGAAACTTGCAAAGAACTCTGCAGCTTCCTTCATGATTCGGGCCTTACAAAAATGTAATTATTTGTGAGCTACAATTCAAATCGATTTTTTTATTTTTATTGTATGTAAATAAGAATTATTACTTTTTATTTTAATGAAAAACAGGGTATGAATTCAGAATAAAAACTGAATTTGTCATATTGATTGAACGATAGAGCTTATTCCTAATTATGCTGAATTCTTTTTTTTTTTTGGTAAACGATGCTGAATTCTTATTTTATACGAGGGCAAGGGAAACTATGACTTTTAGCCATTATTAAATCTAATCCGAGCATTGACCTGGTCGGGACATTGGGTTATTGAGTCATTGGTCAGATCGATGGGTCACTGATCAGACCGGTTGACCTGGATATATATAATATATAAAAATATATATAGATATGAATATAAAAATTCAATTATATTCTCTATATCTAAAATGAATTAAACAAGGTTCATTAAATAAACTCAAAAATAAGAAGCATAAATAAATAAAAATGCATGTAATTACTATGTCAATTTAAATTGCAACTCAGAATCCTCATAAACATATCTCTCCATAATATTGAACTCATATTTTTCAAATTCAACGACATTAAAAATGACATGCCATGTTCTCTTAATTTATTATTCTGCAAATTGCTTCAGTATTAGAAGCTGAAATTTGAGGTAATTGTAGAATAGTATACTAGCAAATAAAATTACAAAAAAAATTTAAAATGAGTTCTACATTTTCTTTTTACAAGATGAAACAATTTTTATTTTTTGGTTTTTTTTTTAAATGCATGACCCGACAAGGTCACTGGTCACCGATTATGACCGGGTTTGGTCGATTTTGTCCGAGTTTTGACTGGGTTTGATCGGGTTGATACATTATCGATCCAATGCTTGACCCGAATTGATCCGATGACCGATTCACCCAGTGTTTTAAAATCGGACCGGTCATCGACTCGGTCGAAGTACTGGGTCATTGGGTTAGTGGTTCAACCGGGTTGAACCGAATTTCACAATAATATAATAAATATTAATAAATATATTACGCATATTAACAACTCATGTTGGTCTTGACATTTCCTCAAACAGGTCATGTACAAGAAATTTGAATACTTTGAATAAAATTAATTTGAAATTAAAAAAATCATCCAAGTATATCAATTTTTACAGAAAATCAAACATCCGAAAGTTTTACACACTAATCATCATTAACTGGCAGTTCCTTGTGATATAATCATTAACTAGTTACAATAAACTAATCCATGATTGAGTGAAGCAAACACAACATTCCACGGGTAATATGGTTGTCGGCGATGTGTGTGGCCGAGACCAATGATCAGATCGCCCCCGATGAAGAAGGTCGATCATAACTAGAACGATCTAAGGTCCTCACAGTTCTATGGAAAAACCAAAAATAAATCAGGTAAAAAAATATTATAAGAGATTTCATAAACAGATCTATCAATGAAAAAGAAAATCATCACAGCAAAAAGGAAAAAAAATCGTGCACAACTAGAAGCCAGAGATCTACTTTCTTTCTCTAATACATAATTTATTTGTTTATTTTTTCACAACCGCAACATTAACAGGGGTACCCATTTGCGAATAATCGAAGATAAATTAAACTAAAACGAAAAGATTAGAAATTTAAATCATGGGATTAAAACAAGGGAAAAAGCAATAAAGGGGTATTACTTACATGCCAGGAGCATAAGGGAGAAGGATTTCAGAGGGTATAAAACCACCATGGAAATCCTTGAGCATCATGGTGTTACACTGTTACCACTAACTTTCTTCTTCAACATTCTCCCCCATCTCACTCTCACGAGAATATCTTCAGTGCTACGGCATTCAGTTTTCAGTGCATCTTCTACTCACAATGTGACCCGTATTTTACTTTTAGTCAAATCACTCTCTCACCTTATTTTAAAATAAAGTATTTATTAATGATTTGACAAAAATAAAACACGTGTCACAAGATAAGTGAAAGATGCACCGAAAACTCAACGCATCCGTAGCACTGAAGAAATTTTCCACTCTCACCCTCTTCCTCACAAAATAAAAAAGTCAAAAAATGAAAAAGAAAAAAACGCTATCGGTGCTTCCTGGAGGCGAGGTGGAAAGGTCCCACATCGACGAAAAGATGAAAAAGAACTTAGTTTATAAACTTTTCGGATGAGTGACAGATAAATTGTGTTGCTCGTCCTTCACATGAATGGGTTTCAAAGGAGCCCCACCAGGTCATGGATTGACCAAAAACTGGTCGGTTGAATCCGGATCCGATTTGTAACTTGAACTGTACAAAAGATCAGTTCATTGATTTTTGGGTTGATCTTTTCGTCGATTCGAGCGGAGTTTTTAAAATACTGGATTCGTTAGATTTCGAGTCAACCTGGCCTGATTGGGCCAAATTATCGACAAAACTTTGCTCTTATAGATAAACCTAGTGCCAACCAAATTTAGGATCACAATCTTAGGGATATCCGATCTTAGGTTTCTCTTTGGGAAAACATGAACGAAGTGTAATTTTATATTTTATACTTTTTTTATACAATAATGGTACTTAGGTTCGAACCTTTGACTTTATGCAAAGTATCTAAACTCATCACCACTAAACTAATTCTAATAGGTTCCCCCTTCCAAAAAAAAAAATCTTAACAGATCCAACTAATCAGATTTTGAGTCCTGGATTTTAAAAAATCGACCGGTTGAATCCGGATCCGATGTGTAACTTGAACCGAACAAAGGACCGGTTTTCGGGTTGACCTTGTCGATTCGAGCGGAGTTTTAAAACACTGGATTCGCCGGATTTCGAGTCAACCCAGCCGGATTGCGCCAAATTATCCTTTTAGCACTTTAGATCCATCCGACAAAACTTTGCTCTTATAGATAAACCTAGTGCCAGCCAAAATTAGGATCACAACCTTAGGGATATCCGATCTTAGGTTTCTCTTTGGGGAAACATGAACGGAGTGTAATTCTATACTTTTTTTTTTATACAATAATGGTACTTAGGTTCGAACCTTTGACTTTATGCAAAGTATCTAAGCTCATCACCACTAAACTAATTCTAATAGGTTCCCCCCTCCAAAAAAAAAAAAAAAATCTCAACAGATCCAACTAATCAGATTTTGAGTCCTGGATTTTACAAAACCGGCCGGTTGAATCCGGATCCGATGTGTAACTTGAACCGGACAAAGGACCGGTTCACCGGTTCTCGGGTTGACCTTGTCAATTCGAGCGGAGTTTTAAAACACTGGATTCGCTAGATTTCGAGTCAACCCAGCCGGATTGGGCCAAATTATCCTTTTAGCACTTTAGATCCGTCCGACAAAACTTTGCTCTTATAGATAAACCTAGTGCCAGCCAAAATTAGGATCACAACCTTAGGGATATCTGATCTTAGGTTTCTCTTTGGGGAAACATGAACGGAGTGTAATTCTATACTTTTTATTTCTTTTATACAATAATGGTACTTAGGTTCGAACCTTTGACTTTATGCAAAGTATCTAAGCTCATCACCACTAAACTAATCCTATTAGGTTCCCCCCTCCAAAAAAAAAATCTTAACAAATCCAACTAATCAGATTTTGAGTCCTGTATTTTAAAAAACCGGCCGGTTGAATCCAGATCCGATGTGTAACTTGAACCGGACAAAGGATCGGTTCACCGGTTTTCAGGTTGACCTTGTCGATTCGAGCGGAGTTTTAAAACACTGGATTCGCCGGATTTCGAGTCAACCCAGCCGGATTGGGCCAAATTATCCTTTTAGCACTTTAGATCCGTCCGACAAAACTTTGCTCTTATAGATAAACCTAGTGCCAGCCAAAATTAGGATCACAACCTTAGGGATATCCGATCTTAGGTTTCTCTTTGGGGAAACATGAACGGAGTGTAATTCTATACCTTTTATTTTTTTTATACAATAATGGTACTTAGGTTCGAACCTTTAACTTTATGCAAAGTATCTAAACTCATCACCACTAAACTAATTCTAATAGGTTCCCCCCCTCCAAAAAAAAAATCTTAACAGATCCAACTAATCACATTTTGAGTCCTGGATTTTACACAACCGGCCGGTTAAATCCGGATCGATGTGTAACTCGAACCAGACAAAGGACCGGTTCACCGGTTTTCGGGTTGACCTTGTCGATTCGAGCAGAGTTTTAAAACACTGGATTCGCTGGATTTCGAGGCAACCCAGCCAGATTGGGCCAAATTATCCTTTTAGCACTTTAGATCCGTTCGACAAAACTTTGCTCTTATAGATAAACCTAGTGCCAGCCAAAATTAGGATCACAACCTTAGGGATATCCGATCTTAGGTTTCTCTTTGGGGAAACATGAACGGAGTGTAATTCTATACCTTTTATTTTTTTTATACAATAATGGTACTTAGGTTTGAACCTTTAACTTTATGCAAAGTATCTAAACTCATCACCACTAAACTAATTCTAATAGGTTCCCCCCTCCAAAAAAAAAAATCTTAACAGATCCAACTAATCAGATTTTGAGTCCTGGATTTTACAAAACCGGCCGGTTAAATCCGGATCCGATGTGTAACTCGAACCGGACAAAGGATCGGTTCACCGGTTTTCGGGTTGACCTTGTCGATTCGAGCGGAGTTTTAAAACACTGGATTCGCTGGATTTCGAGGCAACCCAGCCGGATTGGGCCAAATTATCCTTTTAGCACTTTAGATCCGTTTGACAAAACTTTGCTCTTATAGATAAACCTAGTGCCAGCAAAAATTAGGATCACAACCTTAGGGATATCCGATCTTAGGTTTCTCTTTGGGGAAACATGAACGGAGTGTAATTCTATACTTTTTATTTTTTTTATACAATAATGGTACTTAGGTTTGAACCTTTGACTTTATGCAAAGTATCTAAACTCATCACCACTAAACTAATTCTAATAGCTCCTCCAAAAAAAAAAATCTTAACAGATCCAACTAATCAGATTTTGAGTTTGTGTTTCTCCATTCTTTTTAAGAATTGCGGCAATCAAACTCATTATTTTTTGAAAGGTCAAATCCTGATATCTAGATGAGTCCCCAACCAATAACTTGGGTTAATTATTTGCTTCTCCATCGTGAATGTTTCTCAGTCACTCATGCATTTGTATAGTGTTTAAATAGTGGATTTTTTTAATTCAATATTCACTATTATTAATACCAAATGTTTTAATTGTTTTTTAATTCAAATATTTTTTGAAAACGTATGAAAAATATCCCAAGGAGAAAAGAAAAGAAAAGAAAATAAAAGGAATTATCTTAAAATAACTAGTGTACATTCTCATTTTCTCTGTCCACTTCCGATATTAGAATTCTAACAACTCTTATTTGCTACTGTTGGCTGTTCAGGATTTGTGTACCACACAATTAGAGAAAGATAATAAACTATATGACATTTGCATTTCAAAATACAATTGAAAGTTGATTCAATGGAATGAGATGCATAAGAAGATAATCACAACGAGTTCAACAAATCAACAAGCACTTTCCTTTTTCTTTTTTGGACACAAATGAAATACAACATTGCTCCATATGAATGAATAATGAACCTATACCTATATCCTAATTCAAACTCTTCAACCTCTCAAAAATCAAAATCAACCTATACATGAATTGCTTGTATATATAAAATGCTATAGCCGCACACAAAAACTAGAGTATTAAAAAATTCTCCAAGCTAAACTATCTCGTTTGCAAGCTCCTCTATTAACAATATAACTATCTCTCTAACAATATCTTCAACATCATCAGCTAGTTCTATCCACCTAATTTCCCCACCAAGCATATTGTTTTCATTCTCCTTACTAGCTTTCTTTTCTTGGGAAACAAGCAACCCCCACATCTCCTCCTCAATCAAGTCTTGGCTTGGTTCAGCACTCAACCTTCTTGAAACAGGCTTTTCCCACAATGGAATGTACAAATATGGCTGAAAAATCTCTAACAACCCTAGATTAATGCGATCAAATAGAAGCCGCCTTTCGGATCTCTTCCAAAGTTGCTGCGCGCCACCAAATTTCTTTTCCAGGATTTCAAAGACAGAAGGGCTAATAGGACATTCTGCTGAGTGCCATGTGGAAAAGTCTGTAAACAAGCTCCTATTAGATATACCAGCCTCAGTTAAGACCTCAACAACATAGGAGAAATCCCTGCTTTCTTCAGCTCCAAATAATCCTACTATCTCTTTCTTCTTTTCAATGTCACCCACTACAGATTCATTCCCACAATCTTCATCACTTGAAACATTCAAACCAAATCCTTCATCATCCACTTCAGAGGAATCTGAAATCAAGAAATGATAACACATTTGTAATTAATACGAAAACATAAGGAGGGAGAGTGAAATGAAACAGTAATTTCAAACAAATTGGATGACATGTAGTGAGTTACACAGTGCTTCAACATGATCATCACTTACCATATACACCAGAGCCACATTCAGAGCTAAATGAAATGCCTTCCCTGAATGAGGGATCCAAAACTGAAATTGGACTTGGCTCGAAGCTAACAAGGGAATCTGGGCCAGCCCCAAAACAAAGTGAATAAACAGAATGTTCTTGAAATTCTGATGTATCCTGTAATTTAAGAACAATACAAAGCAAGAGCATGACTTCAGCAATCATACGTGAGGAGGGAACTTGATATCATTGAATTAACAGCAATCACGAGCAAAAGCCAAAAGATCATTTGCATTCTATATAATCATATACAGATTAAAGTCCACTCACAAAAGTTAAATATGAAGTGTCTATGACTATTTGATATCCAATCAAGAAAAACAAAAATTATTTCGTGTAATTGAGGACATTACAAGATGTTACTTAAGGAAAACAATAATACATAATTAACTTAAAAATAAAAAATTAAATCAAAATCAACATGGTCTATCGAACTCGAGCAATCCGATTTTATGCTTAATACCTCTGATACAGGACAGCCTTGCATCAAAATGCACCAAACAGAAAGTATAGCTTACGCCTATTACCCGATATTAATGATTTGGACCATTTCTGAACAGCAAAAGCTAGAAACCTTACATGCTCATTCATTCAATCCATCCAAAACATAACTTCTTTATATTGAATTGCAAAGGATAACATTATCCTATAGGGTTTGCTTAATTATTATTATTTTCAAAGAAAAACTCATAAAATATTGGAAAGCACAATGAAATTCTATATAATTGCCTTTTTCATATAATTGTGATTTTGCACTAATTATCATGTAAAGGATGGATCATGGATATAATAAAATAAAAGCCTAGTTCAACATATCTAACTTCAATATAAAAAAGGTCAGTCCTGTGCACAAGCCACAAGGCTCACACCATTGTGGCATTTGGGGAGCATTAGATGTATGCAACCTAATAGCATGATTGGAGAGGCTATTTCCACGACTAGAACAAGTGACCACAAGGTCACAAATCAGCAATCTTATTGTTGCATCAAAGCTCACGCTCTATATTTGACTTCAATATACCCAAGATAAAATATCAGAAGTCAGACTTCAAAGAAGAAGGAAAAATAAGCAATTCAGTACCAAGCAAGCATTCCTGAAACAATTTTTTAATTTTGCTACTTTCGTTTAGGGTTTAGGGATAAGGTGGTAGGTAGTTGGACTTTGAGCAGAAGGTCTCAGAACAATTGGTAACCCTTGAGTGTATAAATTACAAGAGGGAGAAAAAAGAACACATGAACAGGGTGGCTCAGCGCCCAAGACCCTCACCATTGTGGGGTCTAGGGAGATTAGATGTGCAGCATAATACTAGCCATAAGCAAAGAGGGAGTTTACATGACTAGAACCTATGATCACTAGGTCACAAGGAGAAAGCCTTATTGCTGCACTAAGGCAGGAAAAAGAAAAGAAAAGAAAAAGAAAACAGGAAGAAAAATAAACATTATTATGCTTCCCAAGAATATTAAATCAAGAACTTAAATTGCTGTATAAATGGCATTTTATTGCGAGAAACTTGACACAGTTGACAATTGATTATATTAAGCGTTTCTGGATACGTTAAGCTTATTCCAAAACACAGTGCACATAGCTAAAAGGAATGTCCCATAAGAACTTTTAATATCCAAATGCTCAATTAAACTTGATGATTTCATCAGATCTTTATACACCTCAATTATCTTCAACAGGACACTTTCGCATATAATCAATGAGAGAATAAAACTTTTAGCACTTAATGTCTTTAAGTATCTAAATTTCAACAAACCAAATGTTTTCATCAGTGGATGATCTGAAAATAAATGTAAAGCACGAGTGAAATAATATGATGCAGTACCTTTGCAAGTGTACCAAAGAAGCAAGGATAGGAGGACTTGGGCCCCCAATGCTCAGAAGAATGGCCCATTGGTGAACATGCTGAATGGGAGTCCACTTATGGATGGAGGTTATGCTGTGTCTAATACCCATATTGGCCCTCAACAGAATGCCAACGTGGATGGGAGCGTGTAGCGTGTAAGCGAGCTAGTTAGTTGGGAGCAGGATATATGCAAGGGGGAAGGCAGGGGTGAGATATCTGGAGCATTAGGTTGTTAGGTCCCTTGTGGGAATTGGGAGAGAGTGAAGCCTCTCTATGTGCTTCACATTATCTTTTATTATTGTATTGTTGTTGAGAGTTTATTTCTTATTTCCATCTTCCTGTAAGCTTTCGTATTGTAAGGAGAACATGGAGAGTTGATGAATATTCCAGTATAATTGGTATTTCTTTTACAGAAATTGTCGTTAACTACATTTTAATTCACTTGACTGGATTAACCTTAACATAATATTACAATAATACTACTCTATTATGGATAATTCATGTATGTTATCATAAAAAATGCAAACTCTGACAAGCATACCAATAAAGAAAAGTTGGATATCTGTCTTGTCCCCACCTTTACCCTTAAAAATTGATTGACCATCAACTGTCAGTTATGATCATAACAACTTATTGGAAAAAATAAGAACAACCCAAACAGTTCTAAGAAAGAAAAACCATACCTGTTGCGTTGAAACATGTGAAGTATGACTCAAAGAATCACTGTCTGCATGTGACACAACGGAGGCTGTTGATTCAGATTGCTGCATGGTTGGATTATTATGTGACCAGCCAACAACCTCAGTCTTTGCATCAGACACCAAGCAATCAATTGATAAATCAGGAGACACAACATTTTGCAATAACATAGTACTGTCTTCATGCATATTATTCTTCACGTCATTGTTCATTAAACATGTCTCTTGCAAGATCTGACTGTGTGAAGGACCTGATCTTGACAATTGAGGAAGCATGGGTTTCTTATCAGACAAATCATTCCCATTACATCTCTTCTTCAACTTACTGAGGTCAATATAATTTTCTTCAGTATGATTGCTATTGAAATAAGAGGAAAAAGAAGAGGATTTCTCATGGCTGGACCTGAGGTTCACATCTTCAGAACAATATTTCTGGTTAATACTTTGATTCTTTGGCTTCCGGATTGACCAGTTTGCAGATGCATTCTTCCTCACACCCCAATATTTCTGAAACAAGTCATCCTTAGTCATAGTTCCGCAATTATTACCAATAACAGAAGCTGCACTAAGAGGTCTGGCCATCTGCACTTTTCTGGCAAAGCTATAACTCACACCAACCTTACATCTATTGTTCCTTTTAATTTTATCATTGCCAAAACCATTTAGATAACTCAAATTTCTTGCTCTATTTCCATGTTCAGAAATCATAGGTGACTGGTGATGGGTACTGCCGTGACCATGCTGTCCGACTTCTAGCAATTTTTCAGTCACATCCCTCTGCTCCAAAGTTTTGTTCATGGCTTCAAAGCCTACATATGAACCATCAGAACAGAAGAACTGGGACTTTTGTGGGATCTCATTAACTGTAATATTTGAAACAGGCTTCAGCATATCAGAACTTTTGACAAATGCTTCATTCCCTCTGAAAAATGAACTTTCTAAAACTCTGTTTGCAACATTTCCTGTTTGTGTAGAAACTTCCTCTGAAATTTTACTAAAAGATCTAGAATTCTTCTTACCAAAATTCATGTGATAGGATATTTTCTTTCTACCTCTCATTTCAGGATATACTTTTATGCTTCTAGGACAAAATATCTCTTTGAGAGGCCCATCAGCCAAACGAGAATTTTTGCAAGCACTAGGTAATGAAAAATATTTTAAACCATTTCTTCCCTTTCCAGGATTTGGTTTCAAAAGAGAAACTCTTGAGGTGAAAGTTTCATCCTTCAGATCCAGTTGAGATTTTGAAAGACTAGATGTTTCATAAAGTCCAGCTTCTCCATTCATATCTTTTTGCAATCCATCATTTGTTTTCTGTCGCAGTCGGAGATTTCCCTTCTCAGCTATCCTCCATGAATTCACACTTGTTTCAAAATTGAATGAACTAGTGGTATCAACCAAACTTTCAGGCTTCCAATTGACTGAAGCATCCAAAAGCTGTTGTGGCACACCTTTTACCTTTGCCCCAGACAAATATGGGATCTCTTTCCCATTTTCCTTTGATGGATTATGGTGCTTGTCTCTCCTGAGTGCTTTGACCACTTTTAAAACATCCTCTGATTCTTCCATATCATCAGTACTCATTTCCAAGGAATGATGCTGATCGGATGAACGCTTCTTTCTGACACCAATAGAGGCAACTTTCTGCAGGTAATTCTCAGAAAGCACTTTCTGTTTAGCTCTAACAGGATGTTGGGGAGGCACTTTATCAAGACCCATCAATTCTAAAATCACACTTGGTCTTTGGTGTTTGGACTCCATTTTGCAATTATTATTCCACAAGATTAAGTTGATACACTGGACCTCAAGCACTCCCTAAAAAATGGATGAAACTGTCTTCAACAAATGACAACGACTGTTACAAGGAAATAAAGGCAATGAATACACGCTGATAACCACAATCTATTCAACCATTTCTTCCCTTTTCAGCTATCATAGTAAATAATTTATCAAACCAGTGAACTCAAAGCAAGAAATGGATTGAAGAAAGAAAGGGGATAGGGAATGAAAACAAATTCAATTTAAGCAAAAAATAAAATAAAAAGAAAAAATCATCTAGGAGACATCATACCCTGAATCATGTTCATCGTTATAACAGTTTAACAAAGTGCATATTGGAAAACAGGAAAAAAGAAACAAACTGAAGTCAATTAGGAGATTCGTCTAAATTGAAGCATCCCATAAGTTGAAACCTAGTAGCTAACCTTCCCGATTAGCAAAAATAAACATAAATTAAGAATACTAATAATAATAGTAATACAAAAGCATAAAGGATTGAGAGACCAACATGTCAATGAATCTGATTCAACTGTGTGCAATCCAACTGGCAGCAAAGAAACAGTGTAGTAAAGTGTTTAGGTAACCGAAACTCGATATGATGAATGGGGTAAAAACAATGAGATTCCTCGATTTCGTACAAACACAAGGAGACAAAATCATTTTGATCCCACTAGAAACAAATTAAAAAAGAAAAGAAATAGAAACCTGCTTTGACATAAACACAAGCATAATCAAGATCTCTACAAAATCATGACTTTCTAAACTCGACCCACAACAAAATACTCATAGATCAACATCATCAATCAAGAAGAAAAGGAAGAAACTCAGAAACTACATGCAAAAAAGAAAGAAGGGGTGGCAGAAAATACCTTCTCTGACAATTCTCTGCAAAAAAATATGACTTTCTTGGATTATGCTGGGTGCCCATAATCCAAAATCTCCATTGCATGCAACAAAACCAATCAAAGTCGTTTCCTTTTGCAAGAAAGCAACTTGGGTAATAAATACATGAATATTTGCAACCCCATTTTTTTTTTATATTATTAAGGAAAAGGACACAACCGACATGATCATCAATTATAGATTTTCACTTAGGGGGATACGTAATTATTTCTTCTAAAAAAATGGGTTTTTTTTTTTTTAAATAAAAATGGGTTTTATTAATTTCATGTTAAAGAAGATAAATTATCTCATATCATAGAGATAAACTTGTGAGTTACATCACTTGAAAAAAAATGGCACAATTATGAAAAATATGTAAAAGAAAAATTTATCATAACATTGATTTTTATTAAAAGAATACGGTACAAAATGTGTTTGGTTTTGGTATTTAATTCATGCGTTGAACATTGGAATGATTGGGACAATAATCATGGAAATGATGACGATGAAGTGGGGTCTTGCTTTTTATTTTATTTTATTATTTTAGTCCGTTTCGTCGTATAGCGATCTATGCGCCAACAATAATTGTCCTGTTCGCGTATTTGGCGCCATAAAGATATTAAATTATTAATTAATTAATGGGAATTGTTGCTTTGACCGCATATTGTTTTTGGTCCATTCTACGCACAAAATGTATATCATATATATTTTGGGGGGAAAAATTAAAATATTATTATTTAAATAAAAAATTGCAAAAACATAGTAATTTAAAATTAATTTATAAATTTATTGCACTCAGTTAGATCTACAAAGGGCATGACCACCTGTCCACCCACACCTGCTTTAGGTGTTTTCCCCTCTTGTGTCATGCCCAAATGGAGCACGACTCATCCAATGATGACACGTAGTATAGAAAAAATCAACAGTTTGACGGTAAAACTTTAAAAGTCTATAACTTTTTGACTCGGGTATCCGAATGAGGTAGTTTATTTTTTAATTCCACATAATTTTTTGATATCTTTCCAAGGACGTCTCATTGAAGGGGATTCAGGCAACAAATTTTTTTTGAATTTTGGGGTATTTTTTCTGTAAAACTTCGTAAGGCCATAATTTTTTACTGCTGATCAAATTTATGTGCTTTTTTTTATTTCACGTAACTTTTTGAGAGCTACGAGTGGGCCAACGCGTAGATCTAGAAAAGTTACGTAAAATAATAAAAAGCACCCGATTCAGACACCAAGTCAAAAGTTACAGCATTCTTAAGTTTTAATATCCCAAATTTTAGAAATTTTTTTGACCAAATCCCTTTCAATGAGATGTCATGGCTTAGATTTCAAATAGTTATGTGAAAAATTACCTGATTCGGACACCCGAGTCAAAAGCCATGGTCTTTCGAAGTTTTACAATCAAAACATTGACTTTTTTGTGTTATATGTCAACACTGGATAAGTTGAGCCTAGATTGGACACGACCAAACACCCTAATGCGTCTAAATTAAGCGTGAGTAGTCATGCCCATTTTGAGCGTGACTGAGTATAATAAATTTGTAAATAAATTTAAAATGATACGTTTTCGTAATTTCTTATTTAAATAATAATATTTAAATTTTTTGCCTAATTTACTGGGTTGACCTGAGTCGCCTAAATAATTATTTTTACTTATTCAGATGCAAAATTTTTCAAACCACATTGTGACCATGTTGGTTGAGTCTTTATCTTTTTTTTATAAATAATTTCAAGGGTATTCTCTAGTCGTATGACCCTTTTTTTAAATAATCTCAAGGATATTCTTCAGTTGTCTTTGGAGATAACTGGAGGATACTTTTGAGATTATTTAAAAAAAAAAACTGACGACTCTACCAACATGGTCACATTGTGGTTTGAAAATTTTTGCACGTGAATAAATGAAAATAATCAATACATTTCTATGGGTTCACTTTTTAATGTAGATAATTTATTTACAGGCAGAAGTCAAGGTACCTTTATCATTTTCAAATCATGAATTGAGTAATGAAAATTACAGACTAAATAATAAAATTTTGATTTGTAGGTTTTATACTTTTCTTAAACCGTTAATAATATTTGACATAAAATGTGTAATTAAATAAAACAGAATAACCCAAACCCTGGGTATGGAAGGTGTCTGAGTTCCTTTAACCAGTGGTCTCGAGTTCGAGCCCTGGGTATGGAAAAAACGGATTGGGTAGTGCTACCCCCGCAAGGGACCGACAATGCACGGTTGGGATTAGTCTCACCCCAAAGAAGGTGGGGATACCCTTGAGTACACTCAAAAAAAAAAAAAAAAAAAAAAAACAGAATACAATATCTTCATTTTGAAAGGGGATAACAACATGCTTCCATGAATACTCTATAGTTAAAAATCCAAAATCTCAAAACATTCATTAAACCCAAACAACAAACAAATTGCTCGTCATGTATTTTGTTTAACCGTTCATCGACTATCTGATAACTCCGATTTAAATAACGGATATAGAGACAATTTTTCTAAAATTTTCTTTATTCCAAGAGGTGAAAACCTCAATTAACAAGAAAAATTAATTAACACTTGAATTAATAGTTTTTCATCATTTCATATAAATTTTTTTATTGTTGGTGGGTTGGACTGGTCTAATCTAAACTCATTACTTTAGACAAATTAGCTAATACAAATTAATCTATCAATCCATACATAACTTGCCTCCCATCAAACATGTGTTATAAATTATGGGGTTTGCATCCATCGTTTAATACGATCATAAAAAATTTCCTACACACAACATTTTGTGGGACCCGTATGTTTTAAAGAAAAAAAAAACTACGGCACGCAAAACGAATCTCTATAACATAACACAATCATTTTTTCTACAACATAACTCTTATAAAACTCATAAATTATAGGTTGTAATAAATAGATTGATACATTGAATTGTTTTATATATATATATATATAGGATCATTTGACACCAGTGTCAAATTTGAAATTTGACACCAGTGTCAAATTTGAAATTTGACACTTCATTTAAGAGCTGTTAGATCAAAAAAGATCAATGGTGTCACATGCTTACAAATCAGAGTCGTTGATTTTTTTGATCTAATGACTCTCAGATGAGGTGTCAAATTTCAAATTTGATATTGGTGTCTATGACACCAGTGTCAAATTTGAAGTTTGACACTTCATTTAAGAGCTGTTAGATCAAAAAAGATCAATGGTGTCACATGCTTACAAATCAGAGTCGTTGATCTTTTTCAATCTAATGGCTCTCAGATGAGGTGTCAAATTTCAAATTTGACACTGGTGTCAAAAGATTCTACCTCTCTCTCTCTCTCTCTATATATATATATATATATATATATATATATATATATATATATATATATATATATATATATGAGGCAGGATCCTTTGACACCAGTGTCAAAGGAAAAGTTTGACACCTCATCTGAGAGCCGTTAGATTAAAAAAAATCAATGGTGTCACATGCTTACAAATCAGAATCGTTGATTTTTTTTAATCTAATAGCTCTCAGATGAGGTGTCAAACTTTTTTTTTGACACCGGTGTCAAAGGATCCTGTCTCTATATATATATATAGGGTCTAGTTATACTTACAACCTATTTTTCTTTACAACCTTTTACAACCAATATCTTAATTGTTGATTTTCGTCAATCAACAGTTAAGATTTTCGCAAATAAAATTTATTAATTAATTATTAATTCACAATAATTGATAACTGTTAATTGGCGGAAATCAACGGTTAAAATATTGGTTGTTAGAGGTTATAAAGGAAAATAGGTTGTAAGTATAACCTTCCCTATATATATATATATATATATATATATATATATATATATATATATATATATATAGAGAGAGAGAGAGAGAGAGGCAGGATCCTTGACACCTCATCTGAGAGCCATTAGATCAAAAAAGATCAACGACTCTGATTTGTAAGCATGTGACACCATTGATCTTTTTTAATCTAACAGCTCTTAAATGAAGTGTCAAACTTCAAATTTGACACTCGTGTCAAAGGATCCTACCTCATATATATATATATATATAGGGGCAGGATATTCTTACACCAGTGTAAGAGTTAAAAGTCTTACACTCAATCTTGATCATTGATCCACTTGTATCCAATGACTCACATTACTAAAAAATTAGAGCCCTTAGATCAATGGTCAAGATTGAGAGTGTAACTTACACTGATGTAAAATGATCTTGACCCATATATATATATATATAGAGGTAAGACCCTTTGACACTGGTGTCAAATTTCAATTTTGACATCTCATCTGAGAGCCGTTAGATCAAAAAAGATCAATGGTGTGACATGCTTGCAAATCAGAGTCGTTAATTTTTTTTGATCTAACGACTCTCAGATGAGGTGTCTCAAAATTGAAATTTGACACTGATTTCAAATGATCCTACCTCATATATATATATATATATATATATATATATAGGCAAAATGATTTATGCAGCTGTTGTACCTACAGCAAACAAGGATACACGTCCGAATCCTATGATACGGCAACGGATCCTGAGTTTTTTTTTTTTTTTTTTAAAAAAAAGCCGTGGGTCCCACTTTTCTGTGTCAGCTGTAGATAAAACTATCTACGGCTGCTGCAGAAATGTTAAGCCCATATATATGTGTGTGTTTTTTTTTAGGGAAATCATTATCTCCTTCTACATGAGATAAGAACTTTTTCCTACACAAATTCGTTTTTCGTGCCAATTAATTTTTCTTTTCTTTTTTAATTTAAAATGTGGGACCCACATTTAATTTATGTCTACTTTTTTTCTCTCCTACTATCCTACAACATAAGAAAATATGCACCTTTTTTTTAATATCGTATCAAGATAGATTTGGTTTGGGTCACAAATCATGGGCTCTGGAGTTAGGTTAGGATTTTTATTTTTATTTTTTTCATTTCTTTTTCAATCCCCGCCAAATACTTTCATTTCCCCTTTCCCTATGTTAGGGACTGCTACGCGCTCACACCCGACACAAACACAGCAGCCACAATGCCGGTGTCACCGCCGACATCCACCGCCTGTGGCCGCCGGCCCTTCTTTCACATCTAACTTTGCCAGGTACCATAAAAGTTCATGCTTTCTTTCTTTCCTTTTCCTTTTTCTTAAAACCGAAGAAATTAATTATGCTTGGCTCACATTAAAGAGTAACAATGAAAAGCAGTCAATGCATTCAATTGGGACTTCCCCCCTATGCTTTTTATTTATAGATATGCTAATTAAAGAAAAATAAATGCATGCATATTTTTTTGGGCCATCAGAATGCATGTAATACAAGTCATAAATTAGTTTAGCAATAGATTACAGAGTCAGAATCGAAGCATTAATGTGGCTACTTCTCTAGAATAATACATTATACTTGCATGTTTGAATTTTGTACCAAAAGGGTGCGGTATTCTGTGAGATGAGCAAAAATTATATATTTCAGTTTTTTTTTTTTTTTTTATTTAGTATTTAAGTGGGTTGATCCACTAATGCTTCATAAAAAGGAAGGGGAATGAATAAAAAGGAAATATTCATAAAATTTAATAAGCGAGAGTTTTGTTTTTGGGGTCACATAATAATCTCTATTTTCCTTCCCTCGTTGTAAAACCAAACAAAGGTTGCGATTTACTTAGAAAGTTTAAGCATTTCTGTTCACTCGTATCTGTAATACGTGAATCTACTTATTGTTAAATGATTGAGTTGATACTTGATACTCAAGAGCATTATCAGAATTCACATGGTTCACATATATATCTTTTGAGCTTTTCTTGGTGGGGAAGGTTATATCGACAACTTTTTTTATTTTTTCTTACAAATTTACGAACTACACTAATTCTGACTAGTCGTCATACACTCTTGATTGAAGTCTGACTAGTCATACTTAGTGTAGTTTGCAAGTTTGTAAGAAAAAAGTTTGTAAATATAACCCCTCATTTTCTTTATATTGGTCCACAGAGACAAAGCTATAAAGAGAATAGAGAAGGCAACAAAGTCCTTATCCCCAACTCACCATGAAGCTCGTCCGGTTTTCCTCTATCTTTCTCTTTGATTTTTTTTTTGGGGTTTGTGTTAGTAATGTTTTCGTTTTTTGTACTGCCATGTTTTTATTTTTTAATTTCTGGGTCCAAATCTTAATATTATTTGAGCAGGTTTTTAATGAAGCTGAACAATGAAACTGTATCAATTGAGCTCAAGAATGGTACTGTTGTTCATGGCTCCATTACAGGTTTCTTTTCTTCCTCTTCCTCATTTTTTTCCCCATTTTTTTTGTTCTTGAATTTGTTATTTTCTTGATGCTGTTACTAAAATTTTGGCTTTACTCTTTATGTTTATGATAAATGCCTCTATACACTTTTCAAAAATATATCACTTACATCTTAATTGAATTTGCATTCCATATATTCTATTGTTGTATTGCTCCTACCTAATGGAATACCCTTTGACTCTAAAGCTTCTCTCCACAATGCAAGTTTAGAATTTAATCATCAACAGAGTATATATCATTCGTAAAAAGCATGTGTGTGTTGGGATGGCGATCAATAATAATCCATTAAAACCCTAAAATATCATATTCCTAACCCATCCACTGCCCTATTTTATTTTGGTGGATATCAATAATGCTTTCAGTAAAGCAGAGCCAGTTACAACTAAAATATTAGACTTGAAAAAGTAGTAAGATTTATGTTAGTTGAAACATGAGTGAAAGGCAGTTGGAAGGTCGCTAGGCATTTAATTATTTGCAGGGGTGCTCTCTACTCTTTAGTTGATAAGGTTTTATTTATTCAAACTTGTTTTTCCAACATTCCACTGCACTGCCTTTTCCTTTCTCAGATTCTGGTGGGATTGGCTTACACAATAAAGGTAGAAGAGACCATAAAGAAAATTTTAAGTAAACAATCTTCACCATTGTCTTATTAAATCTAATGCAACTCTTTCCATTAAATTTCCTATTAAACATCCATCGGATTTGAGTTTGATCCGGTCACATGGATCTGATACTGGTATGGCATTAATATTGTCTTTTTATTAAAGTTCTAGTTCTGTATATTTAGCTTCGTAGATAATTAGTGAACATGAAGTAAACATAGTTTATGAATTTTGAGTGTAGTGAGTCCTTGTACTAAAATTAGGCATATGTTCCTACTTCCTAGTTAAACTATCCCATTAATTGGTAAATAATTGTTGCCTCTTGCTCAAAAATACTACTTTGAAATTTGAATCAGGAAGTCATAGCATACTGATATTGGGACTTTTGCCACAGGTGTTGATATCAGTATGAACACATTTTTTTTAATAAACCACAGGTATTCTCTACCGAAGACAATCCTGTTCGGAGCGGGTCTAGGATTAAGGCTTTAAACCTCTCTTAAAGATAGTATTGGAAATGATCGAACACATGCTCTCATCCCACCTGCTTAGCTCCCATGCGCCATCTGAGCTACCATAATTTGGTGTATGAACACACATTTGAAAACAGTTAAACTAACTCTTAAAGTGAAAAATCCAGCGATTCTGGATCATCTCAGTGTGAGGGGTAACAACATCCGTTACTATATTCTTCCTGATAGCTTGAATCTTGAGACTTTGCTAGTTGAAGAGACACCTAGGGTCAAGCCCAAGAAGCCAACTGCTGGTGCTGTATATAGTCTGACTGCATTATTTTCTTTTAAGTGCTAAATCAATGCTGCGACTCTGATCATTATACCGCTTATTTTCTTTTTCTTTTTTCTTTTTGTTTTGTGTGTGTGTGTGTATACCTATAAGCTTTAAAAGAGATATCTGCCTTCATTTTCAATAAGAACCTAGATCGCAACTTCCATGTGTTTGAGGTTGTGAAATTGTGATTCACATTAATCTAAATTGCCGTATAGGAACATCCTGTTGCTTATGATTTATTAAATCAACTTCATTCAGTTGGAATTAGTAATACGAATGTTTGTCCTTTTTTTGTATTTATTCTACAGATCATGATCTGTCTACTGATATTTATTTGGCCGTAAGAATATTTTCTGTTAATATACAAGGATGTCATTGCTGATCTTTGATGGAATTTGAGCTGTTAAGTTTACTCTTCTTCATGCGTTCAATTCTTTTATGCATGGGTAGGATCAACAATATGGGGGTGCTTTAATTGATTGAATTGAAGATGGACAAGACTTTGCCTTTTTCATGTGCAATGGTCCGAATCTATGGTGCCGTACTTAGTATGAGTTGTAGAACTGAGGAACTACATTGCTCTAGTTCGGGATTCTGGAGCTTCCAAGGGATTTTTTTTTTGTTCTTTAATAATGTTCATTTTTACCAACAAAAGTCTATACAATGCATTAGTTCCCAAGCAAGGTTGGACATGACAACTTAAACTATGTTCATTAATTTTTCTTTCTGCACCACTTTCCCATCATATTTGCACATATCATAAAATCATTAGCATAAAAGCTGTAAATGATCAGTTAAACTTATCATATAAGACGTGCCGCCAAAATTTGTGAATTTATGAAGCTAGTTAGTACTTCCAGCAACTTAGCATTTACGACGTCGCATGGCAAGCGGAATTATGTGTATTCATGTGACTTTACCTGTTAAACTTAGATTTAACTTTACTGCCAAATATGTTAAAACTTAGTTATACGTAATGATTGTATAGGATGGCCTCTTTTCCTCCTAAACTTTTTATGCACCAAATATTTAAGGCTATGTTTGAATATCTAGTAATGGGTGAAATGAAATGGGATGAATTGGAATAAAATTGCCATACCACTTTTTGGGCATTTATTATTAAATGAAGGAAAGTATCCATTCTATTGTTTAGGAAATAACCATAATGGTAAGAAAATTAATACATGATAAGTTGGTTTCATTGCATATCCTCAGGTAGGGGAAAGAAAAATAGAAGCATTAGATGAAATGGATTAAAGGAGATACTAAAAAAAATGAAATAAGATGGAATAGATTCTTTTTCATTCCATTTTATTTTAAACAGTTAAAATAATTTCAACTGATATCATTTTATTCAATTCTCTTCTATTACATATCTTTTCATCAACCAAACATAACCAAAGAATTAACTACACTATCATGATAGTTCTGCAATGATGTGTTTAAAACTGTCACAGAAACACTTATTAGCATTATTTAGACAGCTGATTAATACACAGAGTATTTAAAAGAATAATATTATATATACTAAGAAAAAAAGCATAACATCATGCATTCAACAATACTAATTACTGATGTTATGCACCAGAGAAAGACCCACAGCGATATGAAGCCCAACCAACGTCAGCCCAGAAGTAAGTTCTATAAATAGGAGTAAAGACCACATGTATGACTGATCTCTCTAACCCTATTTGATTGAAGACACGACAGTGCACACACACACCCCTTCTGGCTAAAGCCATCATATAGTGTGTAGTGATCAGCTGTCTCCAAGATACCTAATTCATAGGTATCTAGAGAAAAAGTTCTAGATCCAACATCAAAGACCCGACCTTCTGTCGGACATATCTGCTTCAGGGAGAACAACTGAGGAGACTTTTCCTTACTCAGGCAACTTCCTTGACTGAAAAACAGCAAATTTAGAAACTTTAGAATATGAATAATTGATTCCATTCCCTTTAAGAAACTCTTCAAGCAGTTTCTTGTGTCTCTCTGGGTCAGCACTTTCACATTCTAACTCATAGCATGTCCCAAAATCATAGTTGGTCTCATCAAGTTCCAGTTTCAACCCTTTCCACTCATGCACAGCCCTCACATTCCTAAACCCACCTAAGCACACGACCCCATTTTCTCCAACATGGTATTCATCTCTCACCCTCTTCAGTATCTCTGATGAATCCACAGATAAGAGTCTCCATGGCTCAGCAATGCATGCACGACCAAGTGCAGGGTCAAATGGCTCTTCATGCTCCTCCATGCGGCTGATTCCACCTGAGATTACTGGTTTAGCCTTCAAGGAGAGGACACAGTTTTCCAAGTTGTAGAACCGAATTCTGAGAACTGCAAGGTTGGATGTGAGCTCTTCATTTGTGCCATCAAAGAAGATGTTTTCTTGGATTAAAGTTTTTGTGTGGAAAGGAGCGAGCAAGTTGGAGAGCTTCTGGTGAGTGGTTGAGTCTGGTAGACTAAGCTTGATCTCTACTTCCATTGGCAACCTGAGAACAACAAGGAATCAGGGTGGAATACTAGTGGTTTTAACTTGCATGTTTTTTCTGCCACTAGAAATAGATAAGGATATTCTAAATGATTCATATTTTATTCTACATTGTAATTGAATTATTTCCTGTTTTAAGTTTTAACTCTTCTAACCTTGACTAATTTTTTTTTTTTATTTTCATGATGAGAGATATATATAATTATGATTAAGATAAGTAATGTCAAACTTCCCTAAGTATATACTACTGCAAGTTAAAATCCCGCATTTTGAAGAGTCAAGAAAGCTTCCTAACATTAAATAGTTATAAAAAAAAAATCTAGGAAGAAACTTTAAAATGCATGTCTTTCTTGGCCTCTTGCTGCATCATAGACATTTGACTCACATAATGTTTGAGGTGATTGGTTACAATTTTACGTTTCTTTTATTTTTTATTTTTTTACCCCTTCAAATCATGGCACGTGAGAAACTCATAATATGATCATATCAAACTTAAGAACGAATAGGCTTCCATTCACAAATAACACAAATATTCTTCAAACGTTGGCTCAATCCATCATAAAATATATTTTATCATTCTTAACTCTTTAATCTTTGATCAGACCACACTAGATATTTGATACAACACAATACGTTCATCGCAACTTTTCACTAAGGCTTTGGCGTGAAATACAAGTTGTCCCTTCAATAGTTGCTAAAAGTTATATATATATATATATATATATATATATATATATATTAAGAAGATTTCAATACGTCAAACGTACATACATTAATTATATAAACTGAATAGTATTAAATTAAATAATAAATATTCCTTTTAAAATGAATCAATATTTGCAAAATCTATATGTTAGAAGCTTATGCTATTCTTATCTTAATATCTTAAAATTTCATAAAATGAATGTAAAATACGTTTATAACATATTTATATTATTTGAGTTTTATAAAATTAAATATATATTATCAACATAATACTATAAATTTAATGGTCGTAATGGATCTAGTTCACTTTCTACCAGAAGTTATACACGTATATTAAAGACTTATAACAGTACTTCGTCAACAAGTGCTAAGGCCACATATATAATATTTATGTATTTTCACCTTTCTTCTGCCAAAAGCTAAATAAAACAATAGAGTGAGGAAGAAATTCTTTTCCCTTTTCTCTCAAATTCATTTCTTATTTGCCTTCTTTTGGAGACAAAATACAAGATGTTGAATGGCAGAGAAAAAATGGTGATTCTTGCACTATCACTTTTCTTTAGTGCACTTATGGTATGTTTCTGCTTCATCCTAGTGATCCATTTCATAATGGAATTGGGAGATGTGATGAATAGAGCTCGAAAACATCAAGAAATACTGTGGGCAGGATTTGGAATAGCTTTATTCATAATATTTGCATTTGCTTTTGTTGTCTTTGCTATATTTTCTGGTTGTGGTATGCTTTATATAATCAACTGTAGCACCAAGATTGCACCTGCACCCACTCCTGTGGAAGGAGACCAGCATCAACCTCCTATGGTTTAACATGCAGATATTGATCATCAAAGTTTGTTACAAAAGTTACCATTTGGCTGAGCAGCCATCCATGGTTTGTAGAAAGTTTTTTTTTTTTCTTTTAATTTTAGCTTTAATTTCGCTGAACCTTTTACCCCCAAATATATGAAGACTGTAAGATAATATATTAATTATTTGTACATTTTTTTGGCTACATAGAGATGAGGGACACTTTCTCATAGTAAAAAATAAGATAGATAATTATTTGTACGCTCGTCATATGATAATGTGACCATTTAGGTAGATAACGCGCAATACCACATCTCAAGTTGAAATATTTGGCCGTCTATTTTGATCCAATAGACATGCAAATTGGTAAGATGGGATAATTATTTAAGTAGGCAAATATTGAAAACGGTTCAACCAAACAAGATCACCCTACAATCTCACTTCTCCAATGTCTATCTATCTCATCACATTGCTCCAACCAAACGCACCCTTATATGGATTAAGGCTTTGAACATGACAATCAGGCACAAAGCTTAGGTCAACTCCTTGGGGGCTTCACCTCCTACGTTTCTTCTTTAGTTTTCAAACAATAAGTTTTAAACTTTTGCACAATGTATTCTGGTTGCCTCGTGATATCTTTTTCTGACTCTCATGATATCCTAAGTTTTTTATATCTTATGCATTTCATAATTAAAAAAAATAACAATTTCCTATAATGTATTGTTAGTATAAATAAGTTTTACTTCCAATTATGTGCCATTGCATTAGTTTGATAAATTTAACATCTCATGTGTTGTAAAATTCATTAAATAATATAGCAATGAATCATTAAATGACAAGGTAAAATTAAAAAATTTGGCATTCATATTGCACCTGAATTATACTAAAAAATAATGTCAAGATTACAATAGTTCAAGTCTTATTCGTATAACGGAAGCTCGCATTCGAGCTTGGATTGATAAGGACTGGTAAATCAAATTCATCCATAGCTATAGACAAGGCTAAAAAAGAAGTTCACAAAACCTCATCCAAGGTTCAATCATGAATGTAAAACTGGATCTTTCCACTTGTATAAATATAAACTTTAAGATAATGTATCTTTCTACTTATATAGTAGTACATATTTAATCTATTTCTAATCAATGTGTTCACTACTCACACTTGAATTTCCAAAGTCACTGTACACAACATATTGCATGTTAGTGAGTGTGTACACGGTATATCAAATAGTAACTTTGGTCGCTCTAGATACCTTCGTGTATTCCTTATCTGTTCAATCATCAACAATTACAAGTAGGGGTATTAACGGTCGAGCCGAGCCGAGCTTTGATCTTAACGGGCCAAACCTGTATTTAAATATGTCAGACTGGCCTTAGCCTGTTAGCTGTTACGAATATAATATTGGCCTGTGGCTTGATTTATTTACAAAAATTAAAAGCCTGTGTGAAGCTTGTCTTAGTCTATTAGCCTGTTAAAAAATAAAATTAAGAGAACAGAATTTCACAAAAAAGAAATTTTTAGATAGAAACCTTAGCTTCCAATTTGCAGCAATAATTTACAAAGTCTAAAATAAATAAATAAAATTAAAGTGAGAGAAGGTAGATAACATGTTATATTATCTTTGCCCATTATAAAAAAAGTGCCAACAAAAATAAAAAATAAAAAATAAATTGACACAAACAGCAGTGCACAATGGAACAAATGAGTTTTTGGGGTGAAATGGATTGAGGAGAAAGAGAGGACTATTACAAGTAGTATAAAAAATATAAAATAAAATACTAGGTCAGCCTGAGGCTTTGAGGTCGAGCTTTTGAATTGGAGCCTGTGGCTTTTTTATTAAACGAGCTTTTATACAAGTTCAAGCCTGTTGCAAACAATAAATTTTAGACATGTAAGCTCAAGTCTTCACGAGTCGAGCCAAAGGCCCCTTGTCTGTTTAGCACCCTTAATTACAAAGGAGCTTGTTCCGGTCACTAGTTGACCCATAATCCCCACCATATATATATATATATATATGGAAAAACTATTCTCATGTCACATGAGACAAGTTTTCTTTCCTACACACCCTTCGATCCACCTTTTTCTTTTCTTTTTGCAGGTGATGGAGCTCACTAGTTTGTCTCTATGACATGAGATAACTATCTCCTTTAACACGAGATTAATAAAACTCATATAAATATATATATATATATATATATATATATATATATATATAGGGTAAATATACTCTCATGTGACAGAATTTTTTTTTTATCTCCTACACACTTAACTTGAAGTGGGGCCCAATAAAAAAGAAAAGAAAAAAATAAAAAAAGAAATGACACAAGTATCAATGTATGAGTAGAAGATAAGAAAATTTTTATGTTGCATAAGATTAACATTGCCCATATATATATATATATATATATATATATATATGTAATAATCACGACCAGGTTACATCAATTGATGCAACTTCCTTTCCTTGTGAGTAGAACCAACACAAACAACACTAGTGTTGGCAAACCTCTTGCCTCACCAGTGATGTAAACAACCGATGCCATTCTTGAATTGTGGGTCCAGACTTCTGCTGCTACCACATTGCATTTGAGGTCTGCAAGAATAGTAAAAACTTCTGAAAGCAATTGTGGCCTGGCTTGTCCTTTTAATTCAATGGTTGTATGTTCTGCCGCACCTTGGACACCAACAAACCTTCTCAACGATCAGAAACTGTAAATACCTTTTGTGTGTATCCAGCGGCACTATTGATTGTCCGATGTTGGTTACCACCACCGTGAATCAATTGACATGGTTTGTTCCTGCTGATTTGGAGTTCGAGCTGTTACAAAAGTATAATAAAAAAAACATTAATCGAATTTCACTTAATAGTTTGAACTTTTAGGTGAATTAGATATTTATGATGTATCAGAGTTTCTTTGACCACGGGATTACAAATTCGAATCTCACAGCCCTTCATTTTTTAATGAAATTAAGTCAAACATATAAGGAATTAAAACAAAAATAGGTTTATACAACATCTACGTGAAAACAATTTAAACTTTTAGGTGAGATGTGGTTGTTTATCACTAGCTCTAAGTATATATAGAGTTATATTTAAAAATTTGGTAGGAGAGTTTTGCCTCAATGTGTTAGGATCCATTTGATAAGGTATGAGATTTGAAATTACACGTTGATTGTACGAGCAATTAATGTGAAGTTTATAAGGGTGAAAATGTTGAGTAATTTTTTTTTTTTTTTTGCTTCAACATAAATAAAATGCCAAGGGTATTGAGCTCGAGACAATAGTGTCTAGACTCTCGCGAGAATTGTAGCGAACAAGTTCAATTTTCCTTATTATTCTCAAATTCTCTAATAGCATGAAACTTCACGAAAATTAATTCAATATATCATGTGTACCATACCATTGGCCCACGTATCAGATATTAAAGTGGTAATAACACATTCTAAACTTAGCTGAGACTCCAATCATATTAATTTTCTGAGATGCATCTAATCCTTAGCTGCAAATTTATCTGGCCTCATTAATTTCAAATTACAGGTGCATCTCTATACAAACTACAAGTCAAAAGAAAATTGAGAGAATTCATTACTTTCCATATCAGATTGTCACCTCCTTACAACAGATAAATTTGGTTATTAGAGAGGCCTTTTTTTTTCTTCTACTCCTTTCTTAGTTTCTTTGCTGGCTAGCTAATTCTCATGTATACATGGATATTGTTGGATCAGAGAGACAAACATTGTCAAAACAAAATAAGTCAGTGCTTTACTCTTCCTTTTTAGCATGTGACTCAACTTCAAATCTGACTTTGAATCCAAGTCTATTGACTCAGAATCAAAGCCACAAAGCTCCAGCTTCTTTGAGAAGTGGGACAAGGGTACCATTTATGTGGAAAGCCAAAACCCTGTCCATGGATCCAACTAGCTTGCCTCCAATAAACACAATAGGAACCCCATTTGAATTTCCAAGTAGCCTCGTCAATGCTCTCTCCATCTCTTTTCCTTTTGGATCATGGTCAAGCTCATGCACCGTTGGGTTAACACCCATGCCACAGAAGAGTGTCTTCATAGCATGGCACATGCAACAGCTACTGATACTGAATATGACCACAGCACTCTGGGAAGCCAGCCTCAACACTCTTTCCATTTGATCTTCCATGCTCCGGAAACGCATGTAGTAGCCCCATGGCTCCACTTGATAATGCATTATCTTCTCTTGACTCATAGAAAAGCACAAAGTGAGAACAAAGTTAAAAAGGGGTGGTGTTGATGTTTGTGAATTGAAGGAATGTTTGTGGTGAAGAAATGGGGAAGGGAAGGCATCATTTTATAAGGAAAGGATAAAACTGGAACAATGGGGCCCCGGGGGGGTGCTTTGTCTGTTGCTGTCGCAGAGAGTGTGTCTTGTTGTTGTTTCTGATTCAGAGGGACTTTTGTTTCTTGTCTCTACTGTCTCGTGGCTTATTGTTTCTGCTATTATGGTTGCTCGAGAATTGCATGGTGAGGTGCATACATATACATATTTGTCAAACAGTGAAAAAAAGCAAAACAGAAAAGAACAATAGAAAATGGTTAATCTACGCAGCACAAAGTCAGAAGATTCAGATTTTTGAGCTTTGGAAGGTGGCTATTGGAGAGTACTATATATGAGCCGGGTGTTTGTCCAATATAGTGTGAGGATATATGAAGGGGCGGAAGGAAAGTAAAAGTAGAAACAAACAAGTAAAGCATATTTTGATTACTAACAAAAAAAAAATATTATTCCCACTTTTATCCCTTACAAATAAAAATATTTATATTAATTCTTTTTTTAAAAACTAAATTAGATCTTTATTGAATTTTTGAGAGACCGTATTTTCAAAGAACTGGTATTGTAGATGAATCAAAAATTTACTTTTTTTTGTAAGGGACAAAAGTGGAGATTATATTTTTTTGTTGCAAATTTTTTTTTGAAAGATACATATGACCAATGGGAAATTTCTTTAGTATTACGGCTCCCTTTTTACTAAAAATGGAAAAAAAAAAATTCATTTTAACCTATACTTTTTTGTATAATTAATTCATTTGAAGTCCCAAATTTTTTTCTCATTTAGTATGATATACCTACAACAACTGCACCAAAGGTTTTTATTTAGTATATATACGAGAAAAGTGTGTATCATTTTAAAAGATGTAAATTTGTGTCATTTTAAGGGAGAGAAAGAGATAGATAAAGGAGTAGAGGGAGTGGACAAAAAAATATAAAGTTATGGGTTTCACACCTTTGTGAGAGTGTGAGAGTGAAATGACATAAATTGTGTCATTTAAAAGGACAAACATTTTTTTCTCTCTATATATATTGAAAGTATTTCTCAAGTTGCTGGACGTCCAACTAGTAATCATGATCTCGTTGATTCTCATTTATTTCCCGTATTTAATGCTTTTATTCATGCATGTATAGTTATGATTCCTAGCTGGACGTCTAGCAATTTGAAAAATGATAACCTATATATATATATATATATGGGGCATGTTATATTTACAAACTTTTTTGTTTACAAACTACACTATCTTTTACCCGGGAGAACACTAATCACCCGGGAGAACATAGTGCAATTTGCATAAATTTGTAAACGGATATTTTCCCTCTATATATATATATATATATATATATATATATATATATATATGAGAAAAACAAGTATTATGTTGTAAGAAAATTCTTAGGTCATATCATAAAGACAATCAATTGTGGGGGTCACTATTTTTAAAATAAAAGAAAAGTAAAAGAATTGACGAGTCCCTGTAGGAAAATTGCTTGTGTCATGTGAAAGGAGGAAAACATTATCCTATATGAGAAATCGTTTTCTCATGTAATAGGAGATAATTTTCTCATGTTGTGAGACATCGAAATTCGTATTATCTTTTTTATTTTTTAATAAGTGGTGAACCCCACTACTTATTGTGTATATGACATAAGAGATGATATCTCATGTGACATAAAAAAATAGAAACCCATATATGAAACTTAAAAAAAAGGCATGAAAAACAAGATTGAGGTATTGAACGTTTTAGAGACATAAGAAGCAGGCTTTTTCTGGGAAAAGTGAAAATAGGAGGAGGTAGGCAGCGAGCGGTGTGCGTCCTTCTTGTCGACCAACCACACCTCCTTTTTGCTTCTCTCTTCTCTCTTCTGACATTTCATCATCCATACGCTTATGTTTATCTTTGTGCTTTCCCCCCTTTGCATAATCTGCATTGTCAAAATCCCAAACCTTCAGCTTCATAGTCAAACATGCTATCTTCATCCAACTTAATTTATTTTTGTTCAAGAATCCAAGTAAGTAGGAGCAAACGAAGTCTCAGATTGGTTAAAAATAGAATAGGTGAGTACACTCTATAAATGAAAGTATCCATACACTTAATATTTTAAGGTTTGAGTTTAATTGTGGTATCTAAGTCCATAGATGACTGTCTCTTTTATCACCATCATTATTCACTAACCATATTCAATCACAAAAGTAAAATATGCTTGCTTATTATTTGCTGTCATTTGAAATAATTAAAGCTATATAATCTCTCATAATCCAATCAAAATTATCTCCATAAACAAAACAAGCGTTTATTTATTTTTTTGTGAAGAAAGAAAAATGTGTATAGTGTAGAATTTAACCAAGATAGGATATGCTGTAGAGTAGACACCCAGCTGGTTTCCTATGGTCAATGAATGACAAAGGAAATAAAACAGACAGCACGCAACGCAAGCTGTTTGCAGAGGTAAAAAAAAAAAAAAAAAAAACAACAACATAAGTGTAGACTAGGAAAGTGTGAGTCAACAAAACAAAGATTTATGACATATGGGAAATAAGGGGATTGGGTTCAAAATATGAAATATGATGAAAGTAGCAATAGCAATATAGCATAGAGAGGATGTTCACCTAAAGCAGTGACAAAGTGGCAGTTTGTGTTGAAAACTCTGAGAGCATGGCGTGGGGTGTTGTGTGTGGCCTTCTTCAATCGCATGCTGTTGCTGTTCACCTCTTTCTTCCTTTCCTGAATCGGGCGGCGGAACCGTACTCACGCGCCCACACTTGTCGTTGAGGATTATGCATTGGAAATCACACATGATGTTACTTTCCTGTCTCTACTCTGATATCTGTGTGAATGAGCTCGATGAAGCCAAATTGGGACATTTCTTGAACTTCTTTTTTGTATACAACAACTTTCCGAGTTCAACTTCCACAATGTCATGAGTTTTCCTATCTTAAACTTTCACATGTGACAAGCTTATATGAAATTTTTATATTTATATCTCCCTTTATGAATATTCATAAATTTTAATAAAATTTTATCTATTTTATATATGTGATAAAAGCACTAAACATAATAATTTTAAAGAAAAAAAATTATTTTATATCAGTATAAGTTATATTCTCGAGCCGTTAATTCTATTTATATTTAATAATTCCGATTTATTAATTATACGAGAACTTATTTAATAAGTAAAATAAAATCAGTTGACATACTTATAAACAAACTCGATTTGTCGCTTGGGCCCAAATTCAACTGAGCATGTAATGGGTTAGAATAACTTCATTTGACACCCATAAAAACAATTCAACGATGGATTACATTTTTTATCATGTTCAAAATTAACTCACAAACATTTCAATAAAAGCAAAGTGATACATACCCTTTATAGGTTAATATTTATTACATCTGACACGTCTTGTATTTAAGAAATTACATTCATTGTATCATACATTATGTATTGTGCTTACAACCATGCTTAGATCACGAGGATGTAACAAAGGCATATTAACATACATTTTTTTTACTAAGAAACATGCTTAGATCAAACTCTACAATCTGACATCTGATTACAACTTATGCTTAAACCAAATCTAGAAAGATCTAGCCCACTTCTAGTTAAAACTAAGCTACTATTTACAAATTAGAGGCACGCACGCTGTTTGCAGAGTGTGAGTCAACAAAGATTGGGTTATAATCTTTTGATGGGTCAGATCAAGCTTAAAAGTATTCAATTCATTGATTCATAATTGCTAGGCCCGACATTATGTTTAGGCCATACTGTGAACCGGTCCGATTCATCTTTTGGGCCCAAATCTATTTGAGCGCTTAATGGGCTAGCATGACCTGATTTGATACCCTTGAGGCCTTGATAACAATTAAATGATGGATTACACTGTACTTAAAAATAAATATAAATGGATTACAAGTTTACCAGGTTCAAAACCTTGAAAGATTTCAAAATAGCGTTGATCTAGTAAGTACTAATTTTTCAAATAAAATGACCATTCAAGTAATGTGCTTTTTTGTTTGCAAATTTCACTTTAATAATGTTTCTATTACTTAGTTTTTCTCTTAAATTAATTACATTTTTTACTATCATATTTCATCTTACAAATGTTGTCATAAAAAATATGTAATGTGTTTAGAAAAAATAATTTCCTGAAACACAAACACATCAAATAGTAACATGGATCGGATTCAAAATGTAGACGAATTGATCTCATAAAGTTTATATGTGTTGGCAGGCACACAAGAAATACTAAAAATGGAATTCTTCCAGCTAACGAAAGTCACGTGCGTTTAATTTAATTAAATTTAAAAAAAAAAATTAGCATAAAAGAATATCTGCCTTCTAATTTACTAAAAAAAATGACGTGGCAGAAAAGTCACAACATAATCCGCGGCAAAACACGAGAAGCATCGACAGTTATCTAGAAAGAAAGAGAAAATGTCACGTAAGCAAGCGGTTGTTAATATTTTCTAGAATACCTCAATCCTGAAACTTCTCGAACTTTCAAATGTTCCAACGAACAACCTCGTCCTCCTCCGTTATAAATGTTTTGGCCAACACTAGAAAACCCTCACAAAAACCACACAGCAAAATTAGTAATTTACATTCACAACATCGAAAGGGACGATGCAGATGAACAACACACCTCTGTACAGAACCAAGTGTGGAATGCCTCAGGCTAATTACAAGGCACCGTCGAAGGTGGTTTCGATCCCGGTCCGGTTCGTTGGGTCAGAGTCACAGCGAACCAGGGATAGAACCGGCTCGGCCATCAAGATCCAGAAGGTGGCGAGAGGGTTCTTGGTGAGGAACAGTATGAGGAGGATCGCAGCCATAAGGTTAGAGGTGGAGAAAATTGAGAGCAAGGTTTATGCTCCCGAGACGGTTGAGCTAATAAAGAAAGAGCACAGAGAAAGGTTGAGGGTGAGCGAGACCATCATGAACTTGCTCCTTAAGTTGGACTCCGTTAGTGTCCTTCACTACCCTGGTGTCAGGGATTATAGAAAGTCTATAATCAAGAAAGCCATTGCTCTTCAAGAAATGGTTGATCATATGGTGGGTCCCACTGATCAAGATCAACCACAAGTTGAGGATTCTGAGGGTAAGAAAATTGAAGCTTTAGGGAATGAGGAGGGTAAATCAACAAGATTGGTTGAGGAAGTTGAAGAGAATTGTTTGGTGAAGGAAGAGGAGGAGGGGAGGGATGTTGAAGGTAAAAAAATGGAAGGTTTGAGGAATGAGGAGAAGATGAAGGTAGAAGAGAAGGAGGAGGAGGAGGATGGTGGGGGTGAATGTCTGGGAGAGGAGAGTGTAGGAACAAGATTGGTTAAGGAGGAAAGTGGGGAGAATTGTTTGGTGAAAGAAGAGGAGGGTGGAGTAGGATGTGAGGAGGAGGAGGAGGATAAGGAGGATTATAAGGGTGGGAGAAGAGAGGAAGGTGATAGGAACAGGGAGCTGTTGGAGCGGATGATGGGGGACAATGAGAAGATGATGGGGATGCTGGCTCAGCTGTTTCAGAGGAATGAGATGCAGACTAAGCTTCTTAACTCACTCTCAAACAGGGTGGAGCAGTTGGAGAGAGCATTTGCTTGTGAGAAATTGAGGAGAAAGAAGAGAAAAAATGCTGATGCCAAACATACTGAGCCTAAGCCTAAAAATGGTTGCATCTGACTTGTGTGATCTTGGCTGCTTTTTTTTTTTTTTGTAATTAATTTTGTATTTGAAGTTGGTGTTCATTGTGATCCATGTAACTCATTTTCGCCTTGTTGGTGTTCTCCAATGGAGTGTTTTGCCAATGAGTTTTGGAAACCCATTACCTCTTCTTAGTTTTGAATATCTCTTCTATATGGATAGAAATCCAAATTTACGATACAATTTGAGGTTTTTCTATTCATTCCCAACTTCCAACTCTTCAAACAAATCATATGTAAAATGTAGGAGTCAAATCCATTTAAAGTTACACTAAATGCTACATTTATCATTACAAAGTGTTCTTTGCCCTTCATTCAGCGCAGGTTATTCAGCTAGACCAGCATCATTGAACCCTACAGCAGGGCAAATGTACTTTGTTTTCTGAAATTAATAGATGATTTAGGAGGACAAACAGCAAAATGTGTCCGTAATGTATCTTGGGGTTACTAAAAACAAGAAGAGCCCAGTAAAACAAACGTCTTCATTGCTGCCACAATTGTATGCATTACATTCAACATGCAATGTCTGATATAATATCTACAAATGTTTTATAAGGCTCAACTTGAGAAACAGCTTTCCCAATCTCAATGAAAAGTGAAAACCTTGCTAAGAGGCAGTCAATTGGCTTTGGAAGAGTTGTGTAGCCGTCCTCCCCATGATCCACTCTAAATCAGACGAAGGCAAAGAGATCTGATTGGCAATAAGATGCGCTGCTTCTTTTGCTCCTTTGTAGCCACATTCAGGAACAACAAATGGAAAATCGCTGCCACAACATCATTGAAACAAGTCGTTATGATTGTTTACAAATAAAATTATATCCCATTCTACTGTTTCCTCACAAAGTTCGGTAGTTGAACACATGTATGATTGGAAATCACCTGCCCCACATTACACGGTTAGCACCAAAGCTAGAGACAACTTGGGACAAGAGAGGAGACAAATCCAGAAAAGGAAATTGCACCCTTGACAATCTGAAAAAGGCACTAAATTTCACATATACCTGTCAAAAATTCAAAATTTAGTATTCCTAATGCCAGAGGTTTCACTACCAAAAAACAAAAAAGAATAACAATTATTCTGATGAGGCATTTCAGACAGTTATACGAACTTAAAGAATCATATCCATACCTCAGATATAATCTTATGTGCATTTTACTATTTTACTCATAGTTGATGTCTATTATTAGCAAAAAGGATAAAATAAGCATCTACTAGGATGTTATAAATTTCTGCTTCTGTCAAGGTCTTCAGCAATATAGAAAAAGTGCAATTAATTGAAAATTTAGGCATGCTTCGCTTCTTTGAAGTTCTGCTTATGACTATGAGGAAATAATCAGGTAGCTACCTGGGGGAATCTGGATAGATTTAAAAGCTGAGAAAAGACAAGACCTTCCTCGTCATTTCTGCAATACAATATTCATGTAAGGTACATTTCTTGGCCATTGAAACAATGATTATAATATAACTTACATTGGTGGTTTGCAGAAGGCCAAGTGATCAAGCAATACAACTGTTGATGGAAATTCCGTACACAATCTTTCAATTTCAGAAATATGCAGATCAAGCCCCTGAAATTATTCAAATCAGTAATTTTTAGTTTCATCTACATCATATAAAAAATGTTCCAACAAGTCAACAACTGTACCTTCATACACATGAAGCCCACTGGTACACTGAGTTCTCCAGCCCTTCGGAAAATTGCCTTTCCGACTTCATTTGTCATCTGCAGTGAGATCATTCAAATATTGTAGATCCAAAACATAACATGACGACAACAACAAAAGCCTTTTTCCACTAGGTGAGTCGGTTACATGGATGAGATGATGGCATTGTGTTCGGTCTGAAAACTCAATTTTGATCCAATAAAATGTAAGAAGTATACTATTAATGAAACATATGATGCCACCTATTCAAAAAGCAGTTCAAATCTTTAACTAAAAGTGAAAAAACCGCATGTACTACAAGTCTACAGTGATATGGCACTTGTTTCTTGACAGTATAAAAAGTTGCACTTGAATCAAATTTAAATTTTTAAAAAAGAAAATACAATAGAAAGAAACAACCTTACAACAAAGTTTTGCCTAAATCTAGTATTATTTACATCTTATGTTTCTTGTTAAACAAATTGATATCCTTTGTTTCTGGATATCCTGTTTTAATTACTTATTAACATGTCTATATCTATGTTTTTGTTCAAAAGGTCAGCTAAAAACAAACAGGTCATTACTTTCTTGTTATCCTTCCATCTGCCCTTATTCATAAGAAAGCTCCTAGGAAAGTAACAAACAACTTTCAATCATACAGCCCAACAGTTAAGCCAGTCCTATAAACTTTCCTCCTAAAGTCCTATTTAGACAGGTTGGTTCATGTTACATTGACTGATGAATACAATCATCGCTGAATAGTCAATGCATTTCCGGAGAAGGAAGTCTCCCTTCTTATTAATTACAACCCTCTTGACTAATCAAAGTGATGTAGAAGGGTTAGGCGGGAACAATGATGGCTAAAGTGTATCTCCACAGCTTATACCATGAATAGACAGACGTGTGAAAAAGAAAGGGGGTTGCCTACCTTTTCTCCGGTTGGCCACAAATAAGGGTTGAATCGAACAGCACGATAACCATCCTAATACAAACAAAAAGAAAACTTTAAATGCTTACCACGGAAATCAGATATCTGATAAAAAGAAATTATCAATTAGACCTTCAAAACAAGATGTTCAAACTGCTTAAGCCCACTTCCATCGTCAGCTGGATTAGCAAGGCAACAACCAACAAATTTGGTCGGGTATTTCTTCAAAACGCTGTCCAATGAACAAATTGACATGAGTGATATCATACGATTAACATTATAAAAAATTAAAAGAAGCCATAGCATGGAAGATGTAATGACTACAGTGAACTGCACAATTGAGTCAAAGTAAAAGTTCCTCCCCTAGTGGATGGCCATCCAACTCACTGGGCAACTAATATTATGATAGCAACTAATCGAATGATGCATAGCTTCAGAACATTCATAAATCACACATCTTAGTTACCTGCACCTGAGAATCTGAGATTACCAATACCCAGAAAAAAAGTAAAGAGAATATATTTTACTAACTATGAAAGCTTCTTAATATGTGCACATCCATGTCCACACACACATGCACAAATAAACTAGGAGGGCTCCTTTCTTCAAGCAATTAAGAAATACAATAGAAAAGGATGATTAGTATGAAACCATTATTCTGAATACATAGGTTTAGTATTTGGAGATTGATGGGCCTGGAGTATGATGGATAAATAGTATAGGGGTTGTTATAGAGAGAGAAAAGGAAGAGAGTTAGTTAGTTCTAGAATATTCTTAGTGGATAGGATAAAAGGAGGGGAAATGAGGGGAGTGAGGTAGGCATGTGTTGAGTGAATATTGGGATCTCTTAGAGCCTAGGGTAGTTGGTTCTAAGGGTGAGTTGGGGTCTTTTGGTGTCTTGTTTGTAAAAAGAGGCTATGCCTCAATTGATTAAGTAAATTCAGTGTTATCAAATTGGGTTCCATCAGAGATCAAATGAGAAGAAATACTAATTGTTTAGGACTTTGGGATTAAACTTTCCTTCAATATCAGGTATTGTATTTCCTATTAAAATCACTTTTCAGAAAATTGCTATCAATAAAATTATTTCTCCATGCAGCATAAAATGCAACATTTTTCCAATTTCGATTAAACTAGAAACACTGCTTGAATCAACATAGCAGTTATCAAAGCCCAGAAAGTTCATGGTGCTCTTATCTTTGATGGTTCATAAACTCATCATTTCTTGTCAAGTTTTCTGCATTAAGAAATAAAAGCTTTGATACATGCAATGAGCATCAACTGTTTCTCTGCATTTGAAAGAAATTAAGTTTTCAATCAAGTATTCTTTGAAGTACTCTATATCATTGAATTAACGCAGGTTAACAAGTTAAGTCATGGATTGCACCACCCTCCTTCATAATTAGACGTAATTATATGAACCTCTAACCTCCTATGGTAATGAAATAGTGGACAGAATTCCGTAGGGCAGAATAATTTAATTTTATGAATGAATAGATCCATTATATAATTTTGTTTTCCAAGAATTTTGGAGATCTTTTCTTCTATTTTCCTATTACAAAAGAGCTATTTTTCCACTTTTCTTCTTTGTAACAGAATGTCCAGTACTAACTAGCATTATTGAGTGTTCAAATCTCTCCCAATCCTTCTCTCTGTACCCTATTCTCTTTTTTCCCCTAGCAATTCCAGCATGGAAAGCATGTCAAATCTGAGATCATATATTACCACTAGATATTCCATCCACACCAACTGTCATTGCATTATTGTCTAAAAGGCTATAAAAGCACTGAATCACTGAGTTCTTACATCAAATGGGAAAAAAGAAATATTGAACATACCTTGTGACATAACTATGATCAAATTTATAATTAATTGGCTGCACGATGAGTGCACCATCTACTCCTGCTTCCTCCATACACTGGAAAAAGCAAGTATCAGCATCAATGATATATACACAAACACAAATCCAATCACAATCAGTTTCCATGTAATTAACCTCAAGCAATTAGGATTTATGTCAAATAGCAGATAGGGAGACTGCATCACATTCTACATGAATGAGTCAAGATTTGCAGGAAATACAATAATAAAGTGTCTACAAACTGTTTAAGCAAATATGAATATCAAGAAAAAAAATATTCAAAAATATATATACTATTCCTAAATTAATGTGACCAAGGATGAACATGGGTAGAGAGATAATAAACTAAGGGAATTTACCTGGAGCAAAAAGTCTACATTTCCTTGTAAAGAGGGCTCTTGTCCAGGAGAGTAAGGGAATTTACCAGCCTTCATTTTCCAAAAAAAAGAAGAAGTATGAAGTCAGGAACATAGTACAAAATCATTATTTTTCACATAAATTACAGCATAGGATTATGCAGAAAAGTTTTGATGAATTAAATTTAATAGTCAACAAATGTGTATCAATTTTTGTAATTATATAGTGTCTTGTATATAAAATTAATAAAAACGTTCTAAGTGTCATTTCTTAAGTAATATAATAGGGATTAATGTTTATGATGTTATCTCCTACACTTTTATTTATGTTTAGAAGATGAAAAACATTAATCCAACTTGAACCAAATAATAATAATAATAATAAAGCATTGAGATTTGGAATAAACAAGACTCAACCCTATATGAAGAAGTGTAAGTATGTTATGTTACCTCTTCAGGAGAAGCCCACACGTGCAGATGAGAATCCATGACTTTGGAGGTTGAAGGGGTTTCAGTGAAGGCCATTCTAATTGTAGCAGCACCAGCACCAGTTCCGAAGGCAAACCTTGGTTTCCTCAAATGACTCGGACACACAACTGAAACCACAGAACTCAGCCTCAGCACCATTTCAACTTTCAAGTAGAGATAAATAACCTCATTTTTTGGTGGAATTTTTTGATTTACTTTTATTTATTCGAACATATATTCATGTTTGACCTATTAACACTTTTTTTTTTTAATCTTCACTTCTAATATTTTGCCACGTGTCACGAATCAAATCATCTAAATTCCACAACGTGGAATTCTATTTTTCTATCTTGCTTTCATCAATCCAAATCCGAATCTATAAGGTGAAAAGTGAGAACTCCAAAATAGTTACTGTTTATCTGAAGTTCATACTTCGTTTAAAAAAAAATACACTAGATTAAAACAAGCATTTTTGAATGAATGAACGTTAAATAAGAGGTATAATATAGTTTATGAAATTATACTTATAATTTAGTTACTGTTTCTATTTTGCTATATCTCGTGGCTTGTAAAATTTTCAATTATATTTATAATATTTATGACCGCCGAGCTCAATTAATTTAGGTTAAAGGTATCATTGATGATAATTTATAATGTTTATGAACTAAACTTCCTCTATGGAGAACACCGTTTCATAATCCTATAGTTTATCGAGATTAAGAAAGAGCAACATTATTAATTTTAAGCTCTTGAATAAAAAATAAAAAAAAGCAGAATAACTCAATTAGCCAAATATAACAACTTTTTCATAAATATATATATTCGTGATATTAAAAAATATGAATCTAGTAATTAGTTAACTTTCACAATAATATATCACAAACCATGTAGATCAATTTATAAGACATTATTTCTAACTTAATCAATAATCTCGAGTTGAACTGCAACAATTAACCGCACTCCGTGTATTACTCGCACTCGACATTCTTCGTTCATTTTTGTTTTCTATTCATTGATGATTTATTTTTTTCTTAAAACAATTGGGAACAGTGACCAAAATGTCACTGTTCACCAAGTTTTTTACCTAAATGTCACGTGAACAGTGTTATTTTTCAATGTTACGTGGACAAGTTCGCTGGACACTATAGCGAATTCGTTTGCTGACGTGTCACATTTTTAGTAGACACCAAGTTCGCTACCCAATGTAGCGAACTTGGTATTTTTTTTTTAAAAACTTGATACATGTTATCCACTAGAAACGTGACACATCAGCAAACTGAGTTTGCTACAATGTCCAGCGAACTTGCCCACGTGGCATACGGAAAAATAACACTGTTTGCGTGGCATTTAGGTAAAAAACTTGGTGAACAGTGATATTTTGGTCAGTGTTCCAAACAATTGTCCTGTGGTGGAGCTTCGAGTACTCACAGTAGGCTCATATACACTGGCGGACCCAGGTTGGGTCACATGTACGCAAGTGCGGACATGAGATTTTGGATTTTAATTTTTTTTTTTAGTCAGGTAGGTTATTATTTGTCTCTTGGTTCAATATTTATAGTAGGAGTAAATATCATTTTAAGTCCCTAACAAAAAATGTGGTCCCCATTTTAGTCCCTTACCAAAAATTAGTCTCGAGGAGGTCCCAAAAAAATTCAAAGTAGATCAATTTAATTAAAATCGTGATCCCTCGCAAATTCAAAAAAGACCTACATTAATCTCAAAAACACTAAAATAAGTCCACTTTAAATTTCATAGGGACCAGGTGACTCTTTTTTTTTATAAGGACTAAAGTGGGGACCGAATTATTTTGTTAGGGACCAAAAATGATATTTATTCTTATATTAGTTAGCAACGTAGCAACGTACAGAGATGATTAAAATAACGTAGCAACTCAAATTGATTAGAGAGAAAACTTATTCTTCCTCTCCTGTCACATACCTATTCTCATGATTTCCTATTCCCATGATTTCTTCATCCTTTGTTATGAAAGCAACTAGATTATGAGCGGGTTTAAGCGTTAATTTTTTTAAAAAATTTACAAAAAACAATTCGGGGGCAGCACCCCCGCCACTAAATATGCGGACATAGAAAAATTTTCCTGGGTCCGCCACTGCTCATATACATGTATATTGACAAAGCTTTGAGGCTAAAAGCATGTAACAAAGGCAAACTAATATACACTTTTAGAAAGAAACAAGGCTAGATCAAACTCTACAATTTGATTACAACTTATGCTGACACCAAATCTAGAATGATCTACCATCAAGAATTGCAATGAGGTTCCAAAGAAGCTCAATTGTAGGCAAAACTAAGCTACTATTTACAAATTAGAACATTATAGATGGCTCCTAATTATGGAAATGCACTATGTTCAAGACTTCATCAGACCCAAGTTGTAAAGAAACTTCTCAGAGCTTGATCGAAAGAGATTACACAGAGAGAATTTTCCACTCTCCTGGGATGGAGATTTTGAGCAGCCATCATCTTTTACATGCAGTATAGTCAAGCCAATTTCTTTTCGAACTGCCTCAATTGTTTCACTCTTAACTGGATTTCCAGCTACATCAGTCACATAAAAAACATTCATGGCTTGGGAACCCCGGGTTGTAACCTCAGCACGGTTGACAGAAAGACCATTTTCTCTAAAAATGCGAGTTACATCGGACAGAAGGCCAACCCTATCTTCACCACAGAGTTCTAGCTTTATGCCCTATATCAAATACAAAATTATAGTATCACTTATAAACATTGGCTAGAACTTGTGAATTAGCATCCAAATCATGTTTAGTACCTCAGAAGTTCTTCTCCTTATAGCAGCCTCCAAGCAGTGAATCACTCTTTGCCTTTCTGCTTCAGAACTGATAGGACATCCATCCACATGCCTTATGTAATATTCCTATAAAACAAGGCAAAACAAATTAGTGAAATTTAATGGTACCTTAAAGTGATGAATTTCACTAGCAACCACAAACAAGCAGATAGAAAGGAGTTGTGAGAATATGCTTTTTAACTCAAGTAACATGACATGTAATACCGGGAGCGAACCGGAGCAGTGGCAAAATTGTTCCTTCATGACTGAAAGGTTATGGGTTCGAATCCAGGAAACAGTCTCTTGACAATTATGCAAGGGTAAGGCTACGTACAAAGATTTACTTCACTCCACACTCAGCTAGTCGGGTTTAAGAGGGAGTGGTTTTTTTTAACATACATGTAATCTGGTATGATAATTATCAAGCTTAAGTTGCTATGATATGCATGTGCTAACCAAATGTGAATTCCAAGAACATCAATAACAAACCTGATATGCCTCTGGTCCTTCAGCAATGACAGTTCCATGGTACACAACATATTGCATGTCTGTGAGTGTGCACACAGTATCAAATAGTAACTTTGGTCGGTCTGGACACCTTAAGTTCACAACGGTGTATCCCTTATCCGTGCAATCATCAACAGTTACAAGGAGCTTGTTCCTTTCACTTGTTGATCCATAATCCCCATCATATATGTCATAATCACGATCAGCATACATCAATTGATGCAGCCTCCTTTCCTTGTGAGTAGAACCAACAGAAACAGCAGTGTTGGCACTCTTCTTATCTATGTCTCCTTTCAGCACATACAGTAGAAGCTGCTTAATGTTAGCAAGGCGATCAGGATTGTCTATTGACAACCCTGTTGCCTCATCAGTGATGTAAACAACCGATGCCATTCTTGAATTGTGTGTCCAGACTTCTGCTGCTACCACATTGCATTTGAGATCTGCAAGAACAGCAAAAACTTCTGAAAGCAATCCTGGCCTGTCTCTTCCAGTTAATTCAATGGTTGTATGTTCTGCTGCTGCTTGAACCCCAACAGATCTTCTCAATGACCGGAAACTACGGGCTCTTGGACCCAGTGACTAGGGCAAGCAAAAATAATTATCAGTACAAAATGATATGCAAAGAGCAAAATTGCAGATTCAAGGTTGAAAACAAACAAGTTCTTCTTGTGTTTTTCTAGTTCTTTTTCAATCTGGCTGTTTATTTGATTCCACTCCCAAATTGGGTAGGAACAAATAGAAGCACAAGGAATGTCAAATTAAAAATGATTTCAGATTAGTTTTTCAGATCTACCTGTTGAATACGGTCAGCTACATCATCAGGAAGAGACTTTCTCCCATTTTGATCCGTAACATAAAAGACTGGACAGTGGGCAAAAACCAAACAAGATTATATGAATACATATTTAGCAAAGCAATGGTGTTTAGTAGATGGAAAATTGTGAATTGTGAAGGGTACCCTACCATCCATGAACCATTCCCCATCAGAGGAAATGTAAGCTCTTCTTACAATAAGATTCATATCAGTAAGAACCTGTACCACTTCCAACAAGCTCCCACGCTTATTTGCACTATCAACCTGCAATTCCCATGAAAAATTGGTTACCAAAAAGAACATTTAGCAATGCAGAAAAGACAAGCCCATGAAAGTTCAATTTGACACCTTAATCACAGTGGTTGTTCTATTGGAATTGCTATCCACAGTGACTCTGTGGCAAGAAAATAACATGACAATGTATCAAAAAAAAATAAAAATAACATGACAATTCAGTTATAGAATAACACACAAGAAAAAAAAAAAGAATAAACGACAACATGTTTGAAAGTAGGTTGGTTACCTGGGAGGATTCATTCGAATGACAAGCTTCTCGAATTCATCGTCCATAGGCTGAGAAGAGGACCAACAATCCATGGGATGTGGTGTGAACAGAAACAGAGTAGTTTTGTGTTTGTTTTGTGTGATATTAGATAACGAGGAGAGTGAGTATGTTTTGTTTTGGGGTGTGAGTTTGTGTGTTTGATTTGATTTGATTTGTGTGTCTGGTTATTGCACTTTCCTTGTACCATGGGATGGGAATTGGTGGCTCGCTCCTGTGCTGGACCAAGATTTTCCGAACCACATACAACACAGTAATAAGTTAACTCACCGTATCACAAATTTACATTTACATATATATATCACAAATCAGAATAATCAAGTGAATTAAGAATTATATATTTATTGAATTATTCATCGCCGGAATTAATAAGTAAGAAATGTTTAATTACTAATTAAGAATTTATTTCCTTTAAAAACTATATTTTAGTATTATATAAATTAAACCAGTGACATCCTTACAATAAGTAAGCCCGTGATGTCTGATAATACTAATTATTGCTGTAAGTTTTCAACATTATATCCTAATAAAATAAAAATAAAATTATTTCTTGTAACTTCAGTCAATTTTCATTAAGGTTTTGCCGTAAAAGTGTTTTAACCTTTGTTTTGTTGAAATATGTGAAGAAATTGGAAAAAAAAATGAAACAATAAATTTATGTGGTTGAAGATGAAGCATGAGCATCCTGAATGTTGGAATGAAGTGACTGTTTGAGTTTGAAATTTTTATTTTTATTTTTATTTTTATAAGCAGAGATTAAGTCAAACAAATTTTTAAAAAGAAACTTTTATGATAAAATGTTCTTTTTTTATAATAAAAAAAATTAAAAACCAAAAATTTCTAGAAAAAGTTTTTTTTTTTAAGTTCTTATTAAAAAAATTTAAATAAAAATTATAAAAAAAAAAGAGAGAAGATTTTTCTTAAAATACGTGTTTATAAGCAACTTTTAAATTAAATTTTTTATATAATCACTAAATAAATTTTAGTTTTTTTGTTTTAATTTTAACTTAAAAATAATTTCTAACTTAAAAAAAAAAAATTCAAACAGGCTGGAATTGTTATATGTCCCTTTCTTACAAACTCGTCAGGAATGAGTTGGCATCCATAGTGGATGCATATGTTGTTGCTTAAGAATGAGTTGGCATCCACTGTAAATACATGTATGTATTTATTTATTTTTTTGTAAATTACATTTATGTATTTTTGACTATAGAGTATAGTGTCAATGGGATGGACTACTTACTAGCTTCCCGCGCCCTTCTCGTCTCTATCAGAAGATTCAGAAGTATTCATTTTCAATTCCACATGGAATTGAGTATTTATGGATATCCATACTATTTAATAATTGGGAAAAGTGATAAAAGTTATTGTCACATCACATACTTAATAAGATGTGAGACATTATTTTAGTTACTGTGTCATATTGAAGACTACTCAAATATCTACTATTTTAAAATAAGGGAGGTTATATTTATAATTAGGATTATAAATGAGTTAGAAAAAAAAGTTATATTGACAATTTAACTACGTTATTGAAAAAAAAAAAAATAATCGAATCAAATTGTATTGATTTTAAATTAAAAAATTAAATGTTAATTTTATTTAAAATAAATTAAAAGTTTATACACAGATATATATATATGAGATACAATTAATTTACATCAATGTAAAAATAATAAGTCTTATATCATATTTTAACAAATAATTTTTGTACACCTAACAATTATAACTTATTTAATTGTATTTATTAACTAATTATTTATTTTCAATAAACTATAACTGATTTGGTGTAAGATTATGATTCTTATGTAAGTTGACCTCTGTGTTTCTCCACACACAAAAGTATTTATCTTGAGACTAAACAATCATGATATTTAAATGTATAAAAAAGCAATCATCAAACAAGTGAAAGTCAATTAAATTAGACTAATAAAAATGATAAATATATTACAACTCAAATTTTACATAGACAAATCATGCAAAGAAAACAACAACCTCAGCTCTGAAGATGTTCACCAACCAATTTATCTAAGAATTTTTGAACAAAAAATAATTGAATAAATAAAGAGAAACAAATAAATAAAATAAATCACACATATAAACACATTCCCAACAAGCAAGAATAAGATATGTAGATGCATGCACTACCCATAAGTCAAATAATATGTTTTTATTTTTAATAATTTTTTTGGAAAGATGCAATTTTGTTAACGAGACAAAAAGAGTACAAAAAATAAGGACTTACTATCGGTTGCAAAATTTTTGAAAGTCAATGGTAAACAATGGATGATTCAGAAGAGATGAGAAGTTGAGAACAAGGCAGAAAAATAGCAAAATTTGACGGAGAAAAAAAATGGTGGTGGCATGGCAGCAAAGAAATTTAGGGTTAAAAAAGAATTTGTTTACGAAGTGAGAGGAAAAATTTTCAAAAAATTAAAAAATTATAAGATATAATTTCATTGAAAAAAAAAAGATAAATAACAAGGTACTATTTCATTGAAAAAACGCCAAGATATTATTTCATTAAAAAAATATTGTTTATTAAAAAATACGAGTTGAGTTTAAAGACTTAGAAGTCAAGTATGCTAAAATAGGCTTATGACTTGATATTTAAATAAGACTTTCAATGACCTCAAGCCTATACCATTTTTCAAATGAGGGCAAGTTAAATAAGGCAAAAGGCAACAAGCCATCTAACCTATTTAGGCCTCTATATACAATCCTATTTTTCATACAACCACTTTTATGGTTGTTAGATTAAAATTAAATTATTGATTCTCACTTAATGTTATTTAGCAACGATTGATTTGATTATGATCTAATAACAATAAAAATGATTATAAAAAATTATAAGAAATATACACGATGAAATAAAGAGCATTAAAAGAAAAAGGGAACAGTGACCATTTTGCCACGCTTCATCAAATTATTTAATAGACTGTCACGCGAACAGTAAAAATTCCTGAAATGCCACGCGGCATAATTCGCTACACGGTGCAGCGAATTATGTTTGCAAATAATTCGCTACACAATGTAGCGAAATATGCAGTGTCAGGCTACACAATCAGCAAAAATGACACGTGTCAAGCTGGCAGCATAACAGGCATAATTCGCTAGACACCCCAGCGAATTACTGTCAGCTTGACACGTGTCATTTTTGTAGGAAATCTTAGATTTATGCGGAAGCGGTTTAGGACCTAGTACATTGGTATGCTTACCGAATCATCCTTGTTTCACAATTACCTCTCGGTGCGCAGGTCTCGTGTAGAATCTTCCCTTGTAGGATTTCTCTTCACGAACAGCTCACCTCAGCGCCGCAGCACGAACAACCTCCTTGAAGCTGGACTGTGGCAGATCTTCCAAACTATCTCTCGAGGAGGAAGGGGAAGTGTGTGGGCACTCGTTCAGATGATGAACGTCTGTCTCTTTGGTTTGTTTCTGATGATCTGTTCACCTTGGAGGCACAAGAGGAGAAAACTATGAATATATATGCTTAGGTCTTAGACATAACTCAACCCTAAGCCTCATGGGCTCAAGTGTCACTGAAGCCCAATAGGACTTTAGTGACCAAAAGAGCATATATCCAACAATCTCCCACTTGCTCTTTAAGATACAAACTTGAGTTCGTAAACCCAAGGCCATGTAGCCCATAAGCTATCATCATCTGATAATATACCCCATCCCTTGTCTCGAGCTAGCCTGGGGACCTACCATTTGTCATTGATCAAGGCTCCTGATAATCTTTGAAAGATTATCTAATTCGGCGCTACTCCACTAAAAGCCCGAACGTGAACTCCAAGATTAATGACCTTTATAACATGAATATGCATCGCCCCTTTGTAGAATGTCTATAATTGATTGACAAGTTTTCCGTAACTCAATCAATTATTTATTCCCTTGACTATGATAGTTTCTCTAATGGATTACATGCACTGGCCAGTGTCTTTAATATCCAAGTACCAAAACATATCAAGGGGACATATCCTACAAATTCCATGTTGTTTATCTCATAAATACCGATAATCAAATAATCTCACTCCCAAAATACCGAGTTATTGGCCATCAATAGATCGAACCTCACCCGTTGGTAAATCAAAGAATGAAAACTATGTGATTACCTATTTATAATAAACTCAGGATTAAGAGCAATCACATAACTATAGTTAACTGGAGATTTGATACCTTATGACAGAAAAACAACCTTAATCAAATCTCTCCTTGATCCTTTCAATGTGAATGTTAATTCACACCAATATTTTACAATGATTCGGACAAAATCATTTCATAAAATATTGCAGCCTGAATAAAGTGCCCAACTTTATTTAACGGCTGTGACTTCATTCATCAATTGTGAGAACCTATGATCATGTCCTCCATGAACGTATCCATATGATCATATACTCCACAATTTGATCCGGACCTTTATGTCTGTAAATAGTGCGCAAAATAAATAAATAAAACCTTATTTATGAAATTAAGAAAATTATTTTATTGTTTCATCATCTTACTCCAAGAGCACAACGAAACCAATAACTCTCACTTGCTTAATGCAAGTCTGGGATCCTCCTAAGACCCAAAGAAGTAACATGCCTCTCGAACACAAGTTCAGGCAAACTCTTAGTAGCTGGGTCTGCAAGATCTACCTCTAATGCTATCTGAGTTTAGTGAAAAACTCATAGCTCGAGGTTGATTTTCTTGAGTCAATATCCACTTGAAATAACTGAATTTTTGAAAACTCAGCTTTTCAAGACTCCCACTAGAATATACCAGCATATAATCTCTCGTTCTCCAAAGATACTTGAGTACATGCTTAACAATAATCTAGTATTCCTCTAGGTTCAAAATGGTACTATCTCACTACTCCCACTGCGTGACAGATGTCTGGTTTAACGCCCAACATGATATGCGTGAGTCTACCTTTGCCAAAGCATAAGATATCTTGCTCATGCATTCTTCCTTCTTAGAAGTCTTTGGTCACTCCTTAGGAAGATGAATTCCACATCTGAGAATTATAATTCTTCTCTTAGAATTCTCA